CCATCTCACAATTAGCCATATCAGGGTCGTAGGTCGTGCCAACAAACCAAAAGGGAACGATCACGCCTTTCTTGTCTTCCTTGGGGAGCTGAACAAGTGGAACCAGGTAAAAGTCAAACTCATCCTGAAAGGTAAACACCTTGATCTGAGAAGAGTTGGGGTTCTCTGTCCCACGCTCTCTTGCAAGGATGGCACTGGTGAATGGTATCAAACGCAGGGCGTGCTTCTCAATCTTCTCTTCAGCAAACACGCCTTTGGGCTTTGTCATCAGTTTCAGCCAAGAAGGGTTGACAACAGAAGTGCATTTGTCCATGACTGCACGAAGTTCCAACAAGATCTTGGCTCTGATGCAGCTCTGTTGGGTCTCAGGGTTCTGCAGTGGGCCATGCTCCCAATACTCTGGCAAAAACTCAGGCTTTGTTTTAGGCTTATAGAGAGCCCACTCATTGTTGACAAATGATTGGGCATCTACCCGGCATTCCCCTGACATGCCACCCGCGTTCACATCGAGGATAACATGCTCATCCTTGAAACCCAAGATTTGCGCCGTGACTTTGTCTTTCCTGATGACCTGACACCCTACCTTGAAACCCATCTCTTCAACCACCTCCTTCATATTGGCAATCTTTCCGGTGTCGGAGTATTGCCTCATCCTGAAATGTCACAGTAGCGGTTGTACATATATTCTGGTCTGAAAAAGACATAGTCTTATATGTTTCAAGAAAAGTGATAACATATAGTCTCATAAACACATGGTTTCAACAACAAAAGGTGTGTTTAATCCTCAACAGGTCTCGCCAACCCAGCATTCTCACCTGTCGAAGATGAAGAACGCGCACCTTCACCAGACATGGCGAGATGTGAATCCCACTCGTTGGTCAGGTTCACTCCAAGAGTTTGCCTCACCTTCCAAGTGAGTAAGGCAGCTTGAGCTTCCAAAGTTTCTTCTAAGAGACACAGCAAAGCAGCACGCTCCCACTCGTGCACCAACCCCAAACATTCAGCACTCTGATCCTTGGCCAAATCTCTAATCTGGCGTATCATCGATTCAGCCTTGGAGACATTGTCACGCAACAGGAGACGCTTCACGTCTGAATGGGAAACGAGTTTCCCGAGTGGACAAAGTGCCAACTGAATGGCTGCATGTCTGATCAGTGCCAATGGTGGACTCTTTCCTCGCCAGCTCTATGCATTCAAACCATCTAGCAGAGAAGACACGTACAAAATCCCTTGGTATCAAAAACACATAGGCGTAAACAAATATATATACACAAAAAAACAAACCCAAATGATCCGAAGCGCTGGGTTGGAAGTTAATGGCCTCCCAGAACTCATGGCCCAACACTCGCCGGGGCCAGGCTGCGCAAATGTCCACCGTCTCATGCAGGAAAGGCGCCGTGTCCCCCCCACTGAACTTCATGACGAAGTTGAAAAGATCGGGTAGGTATTCATTGAACTCTGGTTTGCTTTTCAAAAGCAGTTTCTTGACATCATTGAAACCCACAACACTCTTGGCAGCCTTCTGGTCCAAATATGCGCGGAAAACCCTCAGACAAAGCTGAAGCTCTGTCTCCTTTCTTTGGAGTTGGCCACTGGTGTTGCAAGTGAGCTGAATCAAACCTGGGAGATTGGGAAATGCTGTCATCACTTCCGACGAAAGTATCTCCCACTTGAGGCCATGCGTGACAGCATCATGGTACTCAACATCGTGCAGCTGAAGCTTCTCCAAGCTAAGCTGATCATTGTTTGTGAACCTGGTGTCTTCATGTCGATGGTGCGCAGCAAACATGCGCAACACCATATTGGTGTGTGTGTGGCTGAGAGTGAAGCATATTTCACACTTCCTGGCGCAACACGAGGCAACAAACCCTGAGAACGTTCCACCAGCCTTTGGTTGAAGTTCATCACACCAACAGTATCTGAGACTTCGCACGCAACTGCCCTCACTTCCTTCCAAGACCATCCACTATCACCGATGTCACTGAGCAAACCGTGACACTCTCTAGGAAGCACCCCAAGGCCGTCACGATTACTGGGATGGGGATGGACCAATGCAGGGATCACACGCTGTTCATACAAGAGGTTCTCAGACTTCAAGAAACCGAACAACGAGTTCATGGCTTGAACATGGCCACCTTCTTCGGCACGTTTGATGAACTCCGCAATCTTACCTCGCACCTCATCCTTCATTGCGAGCAAAGCCCTGCAAGCGTGCCCTGCACTGCACTATCAAAACGCTGCGTACTGAGCCAGTCAAATCTGAGAGCCAAGAAATACCAAAACACGAGTGAGCAACGCTGGAATCATGTCTTGCAAACAAACACAACACGCAGGAGTTGCCAACTTGAGTCAACTGCACACACTGATTGCAAAAAGCACTTGGTTGCAACTGACTCCAAAAAGCAAGTCACTGTCACACACCAAGCGGTTTGACTGGTTGCATGTCCATCCGTTGACTGAAAACAACACTACAAATTCTTGAGTCGTTGTTGCGACAAACTCTTCTTTGGTTTTTGCGCCATGCTTCTCCCATATAGATGGCTGGGGGCTAGCGCGCCTGTGTTAGCCCGCAGCTGCTGCAGCGCAACCAGTCCAGACATGAAGCCGAAACGGAAAGCCACAGATCTTACATAACGCCGTATTTACTACGACAAACAAAACATTCGAAAACCTAACGCAACTACAAGCTACAAAACCAAACAACATATGAGATGGTTTCAACTCTTGTATAGGTGGTTCTTTCAACTCCTCCGTCCCAAACACATTGAATGAAACAGTGAGTCTATGGCTTGCAAGTCCAATCCTGTAGTCCACAAACGCCTTTTCTGTTCTGCAAGAACAAATTCCACTTCTCCCAGCCGCTAAAAACTTTAGAATGTCCATTGGCTTTACCTTTTTCAGCTAACCCAGCGAAAGAATGAAGGAATCTTCTTGGCACACCCAAACATGCCCTTCCTGTCACACGTGTTTGGAAACCAAGGCCGTGTCGCTGCGAAGCAAAGCACATACACACAGGCTGTCAATTGAAAATTGCCTTTGTAAATAAAAAACATTATATCAGCAATCCTTGAAAAACACTTAGCAGGGACTTAGCCCACTTAGCTAAGTCGACTTAGCCTACTTAGCCAAGTCCACTAACCCACTTAGCTAACTCGACTTAGGCTACTTAGCTAAGTCGTACCTAAGTCACTTAGAAGACTTAGCTAAGTCGACCCTACCCAATTAGATAAGTAGCCTAAGTCGGTTACAAAACTTCACTGCGAGCGGAAAGCGTGTCTGCGCACGTGGTTGCGCCGCTTGCGCCACCTGCGCCGCCTGCGCCACTTGCGCCGTTTGCGCCGCTTGCGCCGATTGCATCTTCTGCGCCGCCTGCGCCGTCTGCGCTGTCTGCGCCGCTTGCGCCGCTGGCGCCGTTTGCGCCGCCTGCGCCGCTTGCGCCGTTTGCGCCGCCTGCACCGCCTGCGGCGCCTGCGCCGCCTGCGCCGTTTGCGCCGCTTGCGCCGCCTGCGCCACTTGCGCCACCTGCGCTTTCTGCGTCGCTTGCGGTGCCTCTGGCAGCCTTTCACGCGCGACGCTCGGCGTGCGCTCGAGCGCCAGAGGACCAGCGCTGCGGGCGTGCACTCGATCGTTGGACAGAACAACAACCTCCTCAAGGCTGACGCGTTGAAAAACGCAAGAAACTGGGGCGGAGGGATTGGGTCTCTGAGTTAGAGTAGTACGAAGATGGCACATATACAATTGACAGCTGCAAGCAGCAGCCCAAGCTACTTCAACCTTTTCTGCCGGCACGCTGGTCTACCGGTGAGAACGGTGTAAACCTTGCGCTTAAGCAGTCAATCCCACGTACCGACCAAGACCTTTCAGGTCACAGCGTTAGTAAAATCTAATTCCTGATTCGAAAATGAAAATGTCCGTTGGGAGCGCGAAAAGTCGAAAGCTCAAAAAATTGATTTTGGCTTTCGGACACATTCGAAAAGGAAAAGAAAAACATCCGAAAAGTTGAAAAGTTCATTTTGTCTCGGACCCAATCGAAAAGTCACAAAATCCGAAAAGTCGAAAAATCCGAAAAAGTCGAAAAGTCAAAAAACGAACGAATCCAGTGTCCTTTCCAATGTAAGTCACTAAGTCACGCTGAGTCACGGGCGACAAAGAACCTTCCATGGACCCTTCTACTTTAGAAACATTGAAAATTTCAACAAACATTGCAAGGTTGGGAGTTCGGGCCGCCAGTCTAAGGCATCAGAAAGAATTAGACGTTAAGGTGGTTCTGGCGCTTCCAGCCTGGGAGTTTCGAATGACACTCTTGAGAGCGGTTATCCTCCTTGGAAATGGCTGCGGTTTCCTGAAGAAGTGCCAGAAAAACGACATTGCACGATGGAGCGGATGGAGCGCATGGAGCAGATGGCGCGGATGAAGCGGATGGTGCGGATGGAGAGGATGGATTGGATGGAGCGGATGGAGCGCATGGAGCAGATGGTGCGGATGAAGCGGATGGTGCGGATGGAGCGGATGGTGCGGATGGAGCGGATGGCGCGGATGGAGCGGATGGTGCGGATGGAGCGGATGGTGCGGATGGAGCGGATGGTGCGGATGGAGCGGATGGTGCGGATGGAGCGGATGGAGCGGATGGAGCGGATGGAGCGGATGGAGCGGATGGTGCGGATGGAGCGGATGGTGCGGATGGAGCGGAAGACGCTGATCCCTCTCGCAATGCAAAACTTAGCAACATATGCAAGCTAAAGCGTCTAACTGGTTAGATGCTTTATTAACTTTATCTAAATGGTTGACCAAGTTATTAAGTGGTTATGGATAAATGGGTGACTTATAAGTATGGTTAGACAACTTATAAGTATGGTTATAGTATAGTTACTATGTCTTCTAACAGTTACTAACCGGGGTGGTCGTCCAAGTAACAATGGAATAATAGAACTGCTGAAGATCGAGTCGTAACATGTTGTAAGAGTTTCGAAACTCGATTTGCACGGTCCTGAGGCTGGGACAAGAAGCTCTAGAGCACGCCAACGCAAGACATCAAGACTTTCACCTCATTGACATCTTCGTGTGGCAATTGACGCCTAGTCTCCTACATGGTCATCCAAAGCTTGGAGTTCAACCGCTTTTCATTCAGTGTTTCATCTTGAGCACGGATCCCAAGTTTTCTGAGTCCTCTCTGAGCGTGTGTTTGTGTGTGTAACCCTTGGAATCACAGGGAACCCCCGGCAGGAGCGCCGTTGCAAGTCTCCTGCCAACGAAGACACTTGCAATTGGCGGTGAAACCAGACCTGATCAGTCTGGCGTACCTGCAGTTTTACTCGAGATACTTCATCGTGGGCCCTGCTTTTAACTACAACAAGATTCTGGCCTTGGCAACGGCTCTTCATCCGCAGACTCTGCGCGTTCCGTCGTCCTTGTCGCTCGATCGTTTCGCGGTTGCAATTTGGAACCTTGGAGCCTTTGAATGTTTTGAGACCTTGGATTTGTGGAGGTTTGAACCGCTTCATTTTACGCACCCTGTTCTCCTTAGGTTTTTCACTTAGGCTGGCGTGTGGCACCGCATTCAGCAAAATCATAAGCGTGCCTGGATTAATGCCAGCCCGGGATGAGCCCGCAGAGTGCCTCCCGCGCATGGACCCGCCGAACGGGGGTTTGTCTTCGTCCCTGCGCCCGGGACCAGAGCAAACTCAGATTTTTGTCTTACTTTTTGAATTCGAAGTTGGCTCACGCCTTTACGTGACCGAAGCGGTCAAAGCAGCCAGCCATTTGGCACGGCGTACGTGGCCGCAGCAGCCGAAGCTTGTTCAAGGTTCATTGGAACCTGTCGAGAACTTAGCCCCCCCTCCTCCCCCTTCCCTCCCCCCTTTTCTTCTTTGCTTTCTGGGGCGTTCCTGAATGGAATACTCAGGATCACCCCTCTCTCTCATTGGTGTGTCCCCGGACGCTTGTTCGTAGCTGGGAACACCTGCCTTTTTCCTTTCTCTTTTGGACGATTGTGTCGTAGCTGGGAGCACCTTTGCTTCCTTCTTTCTCTCCTTCTCTTTTCTTCCTCCCCCTCCCCCCTCTTTCCTCGCGCGGCGTGTTCTACAAGCAAACTAGGCTTTTGCAACAGGTTTCTCAATGAGGTTTGGGCTGTCATTACGAGGTTCAGGTGGCCCAGGTGGTTTGGTTCGTCGGTTGCCCCTCTTCACTTGGTTCTTCTTCATCGGCAACCCCACACACTTTTCGTCTGTCTGCGTGTGTGTGTGTGTAACCCTTGGAGCCACACAGAACCCTTGGGTTTGGAGCAGGGGGCAGGAGCGCCATTGAACGAAGACACTTGCAATTGGCGGTGAAACCAGACCTGATCAGTCTGGCGTACCTGCAGTTGTACTCGAGATACTTCATCATGGGCCCTGCTTTTAACTACAACAAGATTCTGGCCTTTGCAACCTGGATTCACGAGGTTCCAGTCGGACAGTTTTCTTTTCCTTTTCCGTAACAGCAGGGGGGCAATCCCACATTGCAGCTGATTGCCCAACGAAAAGGGCTGCAATTGTGGCTGATATCCGGAAGGGACGCCTTCTGGACGTACCTGCTTGGTTGTGGTGCTTACAAGCTGTTACCCTCATCTTTCTTGCAGTCACGCACGGACCGCCGTCATCTCGCCGCCTCGAACTCGTCGATTTGGCGCTTGCGCTTTGGGCCTCACTTCCGTTTGAAGACCCCCAGCCTCCGTTGGGTTTTACCTGTACTCTTAGGAAATGGTAACCTAGGCCGGCGTGTGGCACCGCCTTCAGTTCAGTATGCATAAGCGTAAGTGTGTGTGTGTGTGCGCGCGCGGGTTTGCACTTGTCTCTCATTGATTCTCTTTCAATACAAAAACTGCAAGCACCATTCTCTCCTCTTCTACACGCCGCTTGACTTTGAACCAAAAATCCTGAATTATTTTTGTCGAGCTACAACACAGAGAGTCTTGTCCCGACTCAGGAGCCATGCCCAGCAATCTTGTAAGACCACGTAGGACACCATCCATCAAAGGTGGGGCAAAGTGACTAAAATATAGCTAGATGGCCTGCAAACTAGATATAGCGCGGCGCCGCACCAGCGATAGGAGCTAATTTGTGACGCTATATAACCAACGGCCTTAGGATGATTCACAGGCTGAACAACAAATCACGCAAGAAATGCAGTTGAACTCACTTTCCAACGGAACTTCATGACTGCGAGTAAATCGTGCAATGTCATCTGCACACTTTGGATCGAAATCAGGAGATAGTCAACGCTGGCTGAACTAGAAATCAGCTGCGGCAAAGTGCAGCACCAACCCTCAGCAGTCTGAAGAAACCTCTACAGGATCTCTACATCCTCGAGCTACCAGTACAGCCCAGCCTCCCGTGTCAGAATGACCACCTGTCTGTCTCTGCCGCCACATGTTTCGGTGATAGAAAGCCTGCCGCGCAAAGAAATAACACATGTTTCCATTTGTTGCTTCGTGCCATAGTTTTGTACTTCCCACTGAAACAGAATGGGGAACATCTTGGCATGCGCTACAACATTCAAAGCAAAGCCGTCCATTTTCATGTTGCCTCGCATTCGCCCTCGAAGACAAGAAACAACTCTTGAACCTCACGAATAAACAAACCACGACCTGGTCTCTCACATTTTGAACTGCACTTCTTGAAGGTGTTGGGACTGGAACAAGTGAGCTCTCTTCAGCATTGATTACAATTTCTCCAGGGCACACGGCCTCGGCAAATGGCACCACTGCAGCACTTTCTTCAAGCACTCAAAGCCCTTCTTTTCAGGCCTTGCCTGTGGCTCCAAGATTCGCAGAGCCCAAGAGATAAACCTAGGCTATCAAAGGTTGAAGGCAAAAATGTATGGCACGCCAACGGAGTTGGCAGTCATCATGCATAAAACTCACGCAAGAAAAGCCAACACGAAGACACGCTTGAAAAAAGCAACCAAAAGTACAAGTTACCCAAGACACCATTCGGGTAAAGGACCACTTTCCAAGCCTTTTTGCTGCGGACCTGAGACTAGACTGTGTCGATTTGTAAAACTAAAGCAAGGGAGATTTTGAGAGGTTTCAACAGACGGCACCTACAAAGATGCCAAGCTTGGAAATAGCTTCTCGATGAATGTGCCTGGCAACCTGCAGGATCTCACAAGAAGTTGCTTTGTCAAGAATGATGACTGTCACAACATCTGGTTTTGGGAAATCATTTTCAAACAAAATATATTCGCCCAAAGGTAGTGGGAACAGGTGATTCATAATAACAGAAAGAATCGGATTTGTTTAACCGCGTGGCACTCACTCTTACATGAAAGCTGTTACTTTTTGTGGGGTGACCAATGCCTCAGCCACCCCAACCAACACATGACCCCTGCCATAGACAAGGCCCTGAGGGGGCACCCTTCAATCACAGTGGGCACACACCTGATTTTTGGAAACTAATTGAAAGGTGTCTTTTACCTCAATTAGTATTCAATAGACTTTGGTTAGGGGTGCCCCTACACCCCCTACCTCATCGACACCTCACAAAACTCTCAATTTAATTTCCACTCCCCAAGCGGCAAGCCCCCCATCCACAGCCACGCCAACATAATACGTGAGCAGCGCTCAAAATCCAGCCACCGCATGCACACCAAGCGTGAAAAGCAGCTGAAGGAGGGGTCGATTATTTATTTGGCAAGCATAGGCATGAGAAAGCGCAGGGGGATGCGTCACCAGCCTCACAAAAACCAGGCAGGAAGTAGCCGCCACACTAAAAACCGGGCAGGAAAGTGGCCACTGCATGCAAACCAAGCAGGAAAGCAGCCATGACACTCAAAACCATGCAACAAAAATTGGTTCAGGGGTTGGCCTGGAGGAGGGGTCGATTGATTTAGTTGGCTAGCTTGATCCAAGGTACACTGGGAACCTGAAAAAAAACTGATGGTTAGACCCTGAATACGTTGAAACTTGAAACTCGCATGCTTAATTGCTGTGGTTCCTCTCTCTCTCTCCCTCCCTCCCGCCCTCCCTCCCCCCTCCCTCCCTCCCTCCCACCCGGACCCTCCATGATCAATAATTGAGGGGTGAGCGACCTCTCCACCACCTTTCTATTTTTCTCAAGTAGACTTCCTCAGTGGCTATGGCCCGTTCAAGCGCTACGTGGGCCACCTCAGCACACTTGGCTATCCGGTCAACACCATCCGGTTCGCTTGCTGTCATCGACAGTTCCACTTTGGGTGTTGATGGGACGCCCCGTCATCGAAGCTCTTCATATGGGCATTGACTTCAGCTTGAAGAGGATTCGCTTCGGACAAGCACCTTGGCAACCAGTCCTGGTTGGAAAGCACGGTGAGTATCTGTTGAGCCTCACTACTGGGATGGAACAGGTACCTGATCCGACCAAGAGCCTGTTCTCGCTGCACATCGCCGAGGAGATTCCTGGAAGCCATCTTCACCTGAATGACTCCAACGAACTAGAGCGCATCTTCACTGCCGATGACAAGACCCTGGTCGACAATGGCCTGGAAAGAAGCCGTCTCCATCGACATGCTTTTCGAACCATGGAGGTACAGCTGACCACCTCTGTGAGGGAGACCGAGGCCTACATCACCAGCGAACTACATCAGATTGCAGAGACTTGTCGTGTCCTCTGGGAAGTCTATTGTGGAAAAGCCCGGACCGGCTTCATTGCAGAGGAACTGGGCATGAAGGTAGAGCGATTCTCACTGGAGACCGGCTGGGACTTTACAACGCATGGATGAAGAGGAGCTGATGAAGTGCTTCTCGCCCCTGAATGCCGTGTCTGGTCTCGTACGCAAACATTGCCTGTCGCACTCCAGCTCAACAAGAAGCACTGATGGCTCGAAGGGAACATCATCATCGACGACACCTCTCCTTCGTGAAGCGTGTCTACATGAAGCAAGTTGGCCATGGACGCCACTCTCATCTCGAACAACCTCGACATGCTTTGAGCTGGAGTACACAAGCTTTGATGGCTACACGGCCGACTTTGACCAGTGTCGCTATGGTGCTATGTGTCTGGACTTTGATGGACTATGGCGACCAGTGCAGAAGAGCACCAGGATGTTGACCACCAAGAAGTCCGTCCTGGCAGCGCTGCACCTGAAGTGTGAACATGATCACCAGCGCTGTCACTTGGAAGGAGCAGCATTCGCTGCCACTCTGGCTGCAGCGATTGCTCAACCAGAACCGGCACAGCTTTGGGACGCTGCCTACGTGGTCGATGCACCAGAGAAGAAGGCCACTGGACACCTCATCAAGCTTCAGTCCGAGCATCGCCAGGATGCTTTGAGGACAGTACAACGACTACACAGAAACCTGGGTCATCCTATGCCAGAAGTACTTGCAGACCTCCTACTTGCTCGTGGAGCGCATCCGTCAGTTGCGTCCGCAGCCAAGGAATACAAGTGTGTGGCTTGCTTGAAACACAAACGACCCAACCAGGCCGCTCCATCAACACTTCCACAACAGCGCAGTTTCAACGAAGCCATCCAGGCCGACGTCTTCTACCTCAAGCCAGCTGATCGCAAGCATGCAGTTCTCAGCATCTTTGATGTTGGCACAAAGTATATGGCCGCTTGCTGGGTTCCCGAAGAGACCTCCGAGTCCTACAGCAAAGCGTTGGAGAAGGTCTGGGTTCGCCACTTTGGAGCACCACGGATCCTCATCACCGACGAGGGCCGTCCATGGCTCGGTGGCACCTTCGAGAGTTGGTCCAGTGCCTTGGGCATCAATCATCAAGTTGCTCCAGGTGAAGCCCACAAACGGTTAGCCTTGGTCGAACGACGTCACGCCGTCCTCCGACGAGCCTGTGAAGTCTACACGCAAAATCGCAAGCTGACCGACCACCATGGCATCAAAGAGGCCCTGACCTACGTCATTCCCCAGTAGAATGCCACACCTGCCATTGCTGGTTTCTCACCCAGCCAATGGGTACTTGGATATCAGCCAGAGCTTGCGCACCTCCTGGACACCAACCTCAATGCCGCACAATTGGCTGGTAACAACCACTCCTTTGAGCAGAACCTGGAACGTCGAACAGCTGCCAAGATGGCCTTGACAAGTGCTGACGCCGAATCCAAGCTCCGTCGTGCATTGAGCAGAAAATACCAAGGGCAGAGCCGAGTGTTTCGATTGGGCGAACGTGTTTGGTTCTGGCGAGACGCCCGTCAAGGAGCTCTGAGCTAGATCCGATGGCTGGGACCAGCGCACGTGGTTCTCCGTGAAGAAGATCCCGATGCCCAGACCGAAGCCACCAAGATCAAGACCTACTGGCTGGCATACAGAAGCCAACTTGTCAGAGCGACTCCACACCATGTCAGGGGTGACATTCTTGGACCTCAACATGTCCTTGACGACGTGCAAGCAGCCCTCAACACAGTTCGACAACTGAAGTCACGTCGTGTCATACGTTATTATGATCTTCGCCGAGCCAACCGTCAACAGCTGGATGATGTGGAGGAAGATGAACAACATGATGACCCTGACGGTCCAATCCAAGATGATCCTGACGAACCTCCTCGACAACGACTTCGATTGGAGATCACCAATGATGATGGACCTTCAGCTCCTCCAGAAGCACTACCACTTGGACCGAGCTTGGGTGATGGCGAGTACACTCCGACCTCACCAGCACACTCCGGCTACGCACCGACCTCTCCGATGGACTACCAGCGCCGATGCCGGTTGAGACCTCAGAGCAATTGCCATCACAGATTCCGGTTCCTGCCAAACTACCGTTCCCAGCTGCAACCAGCAGATCACGCTCTCGAGCACCAACTATTGCTGAACCCAGTGAAGAGCCGACCGTACCCTCAGGCAGGCAGTCACCACACACCACTATGGGCGACCAGTTGACTGATGAACCCCTACGACCCCGGCTCCAATTCCAAGACCAACCTTGGACCCAGATACAGCCGCACTGTACGAGACAGTTGACGCCGAAACCTTCGGACAGCGAAGGGCCAAGGTTCAACAGACAGGAAACTTTGAGTTTCAGACCTGTCCGGCGTCAGAGACCTCAAGGGGCACAACCATATGATCCTGATCCACCTCCCACTGCAGATCCTGGCGAAGAACACGCGCCAGCCGCCAATGCTGACCCAGACCTCACAGCAGCCAAGCGCGCACCTGAGCACGCTTTGATCAATCATGCCTTCCAGGAGCCCAAGGACTCCCACAAGGGTGGATCTTCCAAGATGGCTACTTCATGCTGGACAAACGCCCACGCGGCTACTGGGAAGTGAAGTCTGGCTGCTTAATCCGCCACCGCCTGGCGCCTCGCCGTCACAAGCTACGCCTCCACGACCTGCCCAAGGATGCACCGTATCACCAAGGGCAACTGGACTGCATCAGAGTTACAGTGATGTATGATCGAAAGGGCAAAAGCATCCAACAGACCGATGATGGCACGGACACCACTCCTTCAGACCGCTCGTGGACTGGTCTTTCGATCTTCGAGATCAAAGGTGACCTCCGTCGTGAACTGGCCATGTATGCAAAGGCCCCACTTCAAGGAGCACGTCACTTGGGTAAGATGGCCAAGCAACAGCATGCCAAGAACTTCAAGAAGGACAAGAACAAGAGCAACTTGTCGGAGCGCCACATGACTCCTGATGAACGTCCTCAGTTCAAGGCTGCGAAAGTCAAAGAACTGCAGAGCTTCTTTGACAACCACGTGTGGCAGCTTGAGACCACGCGAGAAGCTGAACCTGCCCGAACCTTGAGACAAGCAGGATGTTGCTGAAGTGGTCCAGGCACCCAGACGGCAGTCCAAGAGCCAAGGCCCGCTTGACCGCGCGCGGCTTCCAAGATCCTGACGCCTGGGAAGGCACAGTGCCCACATCGTCTCCGACCACGACCCGGCTGTCGAGATCTATGTTGCTCAGTTTGGCTTCGACCATGTCTTGGCCGATCTGGACTTCGGACATCGCAACGGCCTTTCTCCAAGGAAAGCCGCAGAGCAGAAAGTTGCGGGCACAGTTGCCGAGCGAATGCCTGGGCCTCCTCGGGGCATCTCCTGACACAAGAACGCTACTGCTGAAGCCATGTTATGGTCAGATTGATGCGCCACGAGGCTGGTGCCTGGCTGCCGTCGACAAGCTTAAGTCCATGGGACTACGACAACACCCTCTGGATCCCTGTTGCTTCCTGATGTATGAAGATGACCTCGAGCCGAACTTCGACCCATCTGTCAACTCCGAACACCTGCTCGGCCCACATGGCCTATGTGGTATGGTGATCATGCGCGTGGACGATATGCTGGGTTGCGGCTCTCCATCTTCTGAACGCTACGCCAACGCCATTGCGAAGCTCAAGAACTCGTTCACCTTCAGAGAGTGGAAGACTGGTGACGATGGCAAGCCTCTGACCTACTGCGGTTGTGACGTCCACATCAACACTGACGGCAGCTTCATGCTCAACCAAACGAGCTATACATGAGCAAGGTGAAACCCATCACCTACGATCGCAAACGCGATCTCACGGAGGCCCTGAACCATCGAGAACTGACTCAACTTCGTGGATTGCTCGGATCCTTGCAGTGGCCGGCTGTTCAATCCAGCCCACATCTACAGAGCAGCACATCCATCCTGAGTGGACATGTGTCTAAGGCCTGCCTCCAAACGGTCGCAGACACCAACCGACTTCTCCGATTTGCCAAGGAGCATGCTGATGTTGGCCTTCACTATGCCCACCTTGGAAAAGTGGATGAGCTTTGCATGGTTTGTTTCTTTGGCGCTGCCTTCGCAACGAGAAGTGATGGCTCCTCCCAAGCTGGCTATACGATCCTGCTTTTGAACAAAGGTCTTCTACAAGCTGACGGTCCTGAAGGCGCTTACCACGTCCTCGACTGGCGCAGCATGTACTCCCAGGATAGCAAGATCATCCCTGGGAGCTGAAGCTCAAAGCGGAGGCCAGGAATGTGATGCACTGGAACACACCAGCATCTACTGGAGCCTTCTTGTAAGCCCAAAAGAGGGTTTGAAGAATGCCTTGGACTCTCCGTCCTTGATGAGCCCGGTCATGGTCACTGACGTGAAGGCCATGTTCGACTCATATCACTGCGAAGGTGTGTCGAGCTCTGTGGTGGACGAAAGAGTGTCGCTGGAGATCAAGGCCATGAAAGACCGCCTGACCGCCATGGGCGGCACCTTACGCTGGATGTCCTCTGAACGTCAGCTCGCCGATGGTCTGACCAAAGAAGCAGCTCGTCTTCTACTTGCCCAACGGCTTCGTCATGGACGCCTGAAGTTGGTTTGGGATCCAACCTATAAAGCTGCAAAGAAAAAGACCAAAGAGGAGCTTGCGCAAAGCCGCTTGGAAAGTGTCCATGAACCAACTGCACCCTCAACCTCCAACAAGGAGTGTGTTCCCACAGAACCTCAAGGCGATGGCTACGAGGACTTCAAGAATGAGATTGAAACGGATGAGCATGTGTCTTGGTATGAGCAGGCCACACCAAGTGTCTTGCGCTTGCCAGGACTGACGACCAGCTGAAGTATGTCCTCAGTAGGCCCAGCCATGTCGACTGCCGCCGCCAGATCGAGCTCTACAAGCGTCGCTCGACGAACTTCTTTTTGTGGATGTTTTTGTTTTGCTGATGCCTCAGCTGGCGATGGGAAATGAAGGGGGAAAAGAAGAGAAGGAGGCCGACTTGTTTGGCACCCTGGTGATGACCATCACCTTCATTTTGTTGGGCGCCTTCTTCATTTTGGGCCGCCGGTCCGTGAGTTTGTTTGCAGCAAACGGACGCTGAAGTCCAGAAAGATGAACCCGTGGTACACTCGAGACTACGGGAAGAGCTGGCAAAGTGGAAGGAAGAAGCTATGCTGTGGCGCAATCGTGCCGTTGAACGACACTCAGCCGCCAAAGAAAGCCGCAAGGCCATTGACTTGGCCCTGGCCGTACAAAACACAGCCCTCGACCTCAACCAAGAAGCTGCTGACACCATGCGCCGGTGCCTGCGCCAGATGAATGAACATTTAAATTGCGTGCCCCTTTTACCAGCAGATTGTGACAACCCGTCACGGCCTGCGATGACACACCTCGACCCAATGCCAACTGTGCTGTGGTCAAAGGATCTTGCCTCCCGATCTGAACAATCCTCGCTGGAGCGCACCTGTTAGGACAAGAGTGCATGCGTGGCTCGACCGCTTTGATGGTCTGACGTTGGAGCCAGAGAGCTCCCCCTCCATGTCAAGTGTCACGACATGTCGTGTTTTCGAGCTGTTTACCTTCCAAGGTGGGGTGGGAGGGATTCGCCCGGCAAAAGGGCGCGGCCGCGCAACGTTCACTCGATCCACTCGCTTTCGTGTGCCTCGAACTTCGTGCGTCGAGCTTGAGTTCTTCACATCTTGAAAATGCACTTCCCTTCCAAACCCAGGGGTTGAAGTCAGCACTGGTAGCCACTACTGGACGCTGGCAGCCTTCATTGAGTCCCCGGGTGCACTTATATTCTTAGTCCATTGTCCCTAGTCTTCAGACAACTTGGGTAAGAGGCAAACTTCAGCACTTTTAGCTAAGAGTGAAACTGCAGCTGCAGCGGCCAGGTCCAAGCGTTCATGCTAATTTGCAACCTTCATTGTATATCCCATGTCTCCCCGAGTCTCCCCATCCATCTTGTTTTCACGACACATAACTTGTTGTGTCATGTACGTTTGTTGCTGAAGTGCATTCAATGCACACCCTATTAAAATAGTTTCAATGTTCATTGTTAAATAACTCCATAAGAAAATACATTTTTGACATGAACTCGGTAGAGGTTGTGCAAATTTGATGACAAGCGCTCTGTGACAAATCTTTAGGGCCTTCTTGCGTATCCAGTTTGGCAGGTCCATCATTAACGCAGTCTCGTTGAAAGGGGATCGCTCTTTGTAGAAGAACCTGGCGACTTGGAAAGAGCTTGCACCACACGAGTGACGTCCGTATCACTTCCTGTCACCTGTTCAAGACGAGAAGTTGCGGAGTTAAACTACAGTATCTTGAAGATGTGAACATGTTGAGGCACTACAGCAAATTCTGTTCATCACATGATCCGGCTACGCCACAACCAGGATGTAGTCAAACTGGCTCGCACACAGAAATCTGTAGAGCTCAAAGGTTCAACTAGGTAACTAGGCCTTTGAACCTCTTGGTTTCGGCCTTGATAACATCATCGACCTTGAGACAATCAAAACCAGCAAACATGCCCGTGACGCTGGTAATGCTTCATAACCTCACGAACCTGTTGCTTCACGCTTGAAGCATTTCCCAAGACTCACAAACAACATCAAACAACAAGCATTTGATCGGTGCAACTACCAATGTTGCTTTTATGTTGATCCTAGCATGCTTGAACCTCTGAGCTGGCATGGCCTTGTTTTCACTGACTCTCTGCTCCTCGCAGAAGACACGAACCAGCGAGAGTCTTTTCTTCGTGAGTGCCTCGTGGAGGGAGTGATTTCCGTGAATTCTCGAACGCATTGACAAATCTGAAAGCAAACAAGTTCAGTTTCCCAGGGGGAGCTTCCTTGAAACCTGAGCTTTCCGTCTCGAAGAAGCTCACTATGAATCTTAGAAGCTACACGTGGCTACTCTCACAGCCTACCAAACACCAAGGTTTCCCGCTGCTGCATGGCCTCAATGCCCCGCTCTTGGCCAGCAAGAGCAGCGATTGATCCAATGATATATCCTTGATGCGATCAATATCACCAGGACGTGACTACTCAAAAAAGAACTGAAACTAACTGCTGTAAGGGCAATACCAAACATGGTTGCTCCGAAAATCATTGCCACAATCGCATACACCTTGACATTGTGAGATCAAACTTGCAAAACTACGTGCACTACACCGTCCGAAATGAAGCACATGGCGTCGTGCGAGTTGACAGCTGAGGTGGCTGCTCTTTCTCGGTCACTTCTTGGATGGATGTCCCCGTAGCCTGAAAGTTGAAACTCACCACTGAGAGCAGCATACAACATACTGTTTGTACATGTTCACAGAAAACAAACAGTATGTTCCAAGGCCTACAGTTGTCATTGTTGTAAAAGCCCAGTATATTGATGCAATGTACCTGACTTTTGGACTGTGAATCAGGTCATTTCAAAGATAAAGTGTCCGTTGTTGTATCATTGTATATTGTCAATGAATTGGCAGCTTCCACCTGACTGACAGCCACTTGGGGGCCGCCTCACCGCCAATTATATACTGTCTCGAACAGGAAACGAAAATGAAATAAAATTGGAAAAAAAACAGGGGAAACAATGTAATAGATCTATAATACTATATATAAGCAAACATAGACGAAACTGAATAGCAGGAGAACTGGTCAAACTTGTCATCAGGCTTTATGTTCACTTCCTCCCACCATGTGGTTCCAGGCCTTGGTGAAAACATGTTGCCACACTTTGCAAAACGCAAAGTCAGGTCCAAGCAAAGTGGAGTTACACTCAAGCAATCCAGATTGGCATTGATCAGCTTCTGGGTCTCCATGAGTGGACACAAAGAACCTCAAAAAAAAAGAGAGAAACGCTCACTTCCTGAGAAAGAAAATAGAAACGTAATGTCTTTCCCAACAAGCGTAGCACCAAAAACAGCCCAGGAAGTGAGACATCACTGTGAGCTTTGTTCCCAGGTTGATGCACCTGTGAAAAAAGGTGCGTATTCAGTGCATATCATCTCTCCTATCCTTATCCTATGCCCATGCATCTTCTATGTCTGTCTTGACGTAGCATATGCTATCAGCCTCAAAGTCAACGGAGACAGGTCCAACATGTCCTCGATCCTCTGCACCAGCTTGCCTTGGAAAAGGTGGAGCAAAAATCAACACTCACAGGGTTTCATCTCCAGGCGCTCTCAGAATTCGTGTCGCAAGCATCTCTCACAATCATTGGGTACAGTATCATTGGGTTATATACTTCAAGAAGTCCTATGACTTATGATTCTTATGATGCTCGCTGGGGACTGAGTTCCAGGGCCCATCTTCAGCATACGAGCCAGCTTCAGAAGACGAATCAAACGGACCATTCGAATCTCAGAGATGTTGGGTTTCGCTGCTCAAAAAACAAAAGGATTCAGCACAAGACACGGTATTGCATGATGTTGCTGGGTCCGTATCTGTCTGCTGATATTGAGATATTGGGCATTCTTGAGGGGCAGGCCATTTTTAGAGCTCGGGCCTCTGCTCCGCCATGGCCTGTTAAGGCCTCCCAAAAGTTGGTAACTTCGCACCCCACACATGGGAGTCCAACCACAAAGGACTCAGAAAGGCTCCGTCAAGCATGCGAATGCCTTTTCACAAAAACATAAACAACCACTCCTCAACGAAGCGGTCTACAGGTAGCGTGGACAACAAATCGAAAGTGAACCAAGTCCTGTCAGAGGCGTCCCAAAGTTCTCCAACCTTCTGGCTTGATCAGAACCCTCATGTGTGAATCCGACACGCTAAGAGTCCACGTCCTCAAATACCGTCTTCCAATATGCCACGTCACCTGATCTCCCGAACCAACATATTGGGATAGAAGAGGAAACAAAAAGACCAGTACTTGGACCCAGGCTGTATCGATTGTTCCATCGCCATCAATGAAAGCTGTTCGGAAGCAAAAGACCTGGGCTCAGGTATGCACAATAATAAACGACAAGCCCTTGGATCCAGGCAAGCAGGGCTGGACATGACTTTGCCACCATTGGAAACCCAAACAGGTAGTGCACATGCGGGAGACTCCCATAGTGTTGCGCACCAGCAGGCATGAAATTCAGAATGTAGTGTTCGGTTCTGTTGTCTTGCAGGGAAGTTGACATTGTGACTGCAACCAAAACAATGCTGTTGTTGCTTGACCGAGATGATGGTTGGAAGGTTGCTCACAAGCTTGCAGCAATGACTGTTTCGATTTCCTGACTATATAGCCTTCGCGTGCCCCTAGTATCTGTATCGAATGCATCTCACGAAGGCATTTGTTAAAATACCGTAGGTGCCCTGTATTCCATCCTGTGCTTGCAACTCAAATGTTTCTTCACTAAACTTCCGAACCTGAATACTTGAATCTACTCTACATTGCAGAATCAAGTGCAAAATGCCAAGTGGCGAGATCGATGCCAAAAATGATGTCCACCAGTACGTCAACGACAGTGGCCTGCAATTTTACACAGCCCCGTTCTGTGTCCATCGGATTCTGACACTGGACGAAACAGCCAAGTCACCACAACATCGGGCTCGATGTCAAAGCAAATCCGCCAGGGAATGATCAGGATGCTGGCACATTGGAGCACACAGCAACATTCATATTATATCTTGGATTCACCATGCTGAATGTTGCAAATGTTGGCAGTTATATGATGTTGATGAAACTCACGAATTGGATTCTGTTTTCACGTATGCCGCACGTCTTTGCAGGACACACGAGTTCATAGCTACTTCTAGCCCTGCTAGAGCGACTCTGTGAAACTTGACGGTCTAGCAGACGCAGGAAATGCCTTTGGCACCCTTTCAGCGTAGCTATGAAGAATGTTCGCGGAATGTATGTACACCGTACGTGTGGTTCCTTACCATTTGTCATTTGTCTTAACAAAACAAGTGATCTGCAAGGAGTCATCTGTTTTAAATCATTCTTCCGGACACCTCCACGTACTTTCCAAGTTCAAGTTTCATTTCAGCAAAACACAAAATGAGCACTACTGGAGGACCTCGGAACACCCACGACACAATCGGGAAGTGCGTTGCCTCTTCATCTGTGAAGGCCAAAAGAATCAAAAGCGATTTCTTCTCAGTGACGAACTTCGCTAGGGTCGCTTGGGTTTGTGAAATCCCAGCCTGTTGAACTCTGGCTTCAAGCTCCTTATGAATTTAACAAGGCCTTCCCCTGCCTACTAAAGCTGGATTAAAGCTCTTCTTCCCGCTGTTCTTGCTTCTTTCGCTGGCCCAGTACGCATGGTAGCCTGCAGAATCCAGTGTCCATGGGCGAACAAACACCTTTTGAGCAAAGCAATGCAAACAATGGCAACTTTTTCAACGACAAAGCAAATCTGTTGTGAGGCTGCGGCTATAGTTCTCTACCAGGTCGGCTTCCTTCTTGTGAGAAAGCATGATTACTGCCTGAACAACCGTCCACAGCGAAAAGCCATGCGCAACATTCTCCACAGACAAGTGTTGGTGAGCTCCGCACCGGCAGAACGTTAAGGGTCAGCTGGATGAGACAAAGCGTGATGAAAATGCTCAAAGTCCAGAGCGCCGGCTGGCACACAAATGCTCAGCAAATCAATGATTAACGATTCTAAATTGTTGAACCATAAATCCAACGTCTACAAAGCTCCAAAGCTCATAGACAGAGTTCCACAAGACCTATATAAAGAAAGACTTAAGCAAATGCAAGTGTTCACATGAATGCAGCAGTGTCACTAGTGCTTACCACTCTGAGGTGGGTGTGCCTGGAAGCGATAGTAGGCCTGCCAGTCTTTGATGTAGCCCATTGACCACAACACAACATTCAGCCAGGTCGTCGCCTCAGTTTCACTCGCTTGGCTATGGACGATGTCAAAGCAAATCGACACCTGAGACTGGCACAACACCTTCGAAGGTTCTAAACACGCTTCCAAATACAGTGTAGAGAAAGACCTCAATTCGACGAGGTTTTCCAATGAATGATTTCATGATTTCTTCTTGCAAGCACTCAAATACACGGTGCACTGGACATACTCTCCGATCTCTGCCTTAAATTTCAGTGATGATATGTATTCAATAGTTTTATCGTTTTGTACAGGACCGTCAGCCAAGTTCATTTCGACCAAAATGCGCGGAAAAAACGGTATTTGCAGTTAGCGTTTTGCACGGATCTGTCGCTCCTTTTTTCGGGTGCGAAACATAGACATGTTAACCTTGTTTGATTGAAATCCGCGGTCCAAACGGTAAAAGTGAAAGAACAAAATGTTTCCTGCATGGACTGTATCCGGGTAGTGTTTTTGTTGGATGTAAAGTAAAAAGAAGCATGCAACTGTTTTGAAAGGAAACCCTGAAATTTAGTTGTTGACGGCTTTCGAAGGCGCGGTTCACTGGGAGCAAATAGGTCTGTTTGACAGAACATCCCGGGCGCCACACTGTAATGCAAGATTTTAGATGGTTGTTCTGCGAATGGGACAACTTAGCTTTCACAGCTTTGAGATACCAAGGGCCAAGCTCCAAAAGAAAAGACCGTGACGCAAACGAGCAGGAGCACTGTTAGAAGCGGCGCTGCCAGCTTTTTCCTACAAAACTGCAGGTCAACGAACATACTGGTTATGCAGTATTGTTCATTGGTTCACCTCCTGCAATTGGATATGAAAGGCTGGGAGGCTTGCACAATCTGCGTGGCCGACAAGAGCTGTGGGAAGTGCAGCAGCAAATACTTCAGCATCCTGCATAGCCAATAAGCTACTAGGAACAAGTGCATCGCTACTAGGAGCAAGGGCCTTGCTAGTAGCAACAAGAAGCTATTAGTAACAAGAAGCTATTAGAAGCTATTAGAAGCCAAACTCGAAGAATCCGGGAGAACACACAATGATCAGCCGAGCAGCAAAGCATTGAAAAGGAACAGCGTGATGACAATGATAGTCTCAGTGCAGCAGTGTGTGCATTCAAACCGAAATCAGAAGGACTCTGAGACACTAGCCAACTTGCTGCGGTCCAGTTTGATTCGCAACCACAAATAGTCCTTGAATGTGGCAAATGCAAGAAACAACACTTTCGTTCTTTAGTATATAATAAGCATCACAATAACCCGAAAGAAAACCATTGCCAAGACTCATATAGCTCACTATCGCTGGTTCTGCCTGCCTTGGCCAAAATAAAACAGTGAGGAGAAGAGGCCCTGACATGTCATTGACAAGCCTGTCATTATGATGAGTGATGTCTTCAGCCGACCTCGAGTAGATTGCCTGTAAAGGTATCCTGAACCAACATCAGGCAGGAGGTCGCCAGGATAAGCAATGGAAGCATCCTCAGTCAGAACTTCTGCTCAGAATCTTGCAACTCTGTGTGTGTGCATAATTGAAAAGCAATCTGTCTTGATGTTCCCTTTGCAACAGCTGTACAAAGCCTGACAAAGAGGCAGCCAATTCTAAAGGTCCACGAGATTCTCTTTCTGTAAACTGCAAACCAGGAAGAGATGCAACAGGCTACCTACTAAGCACGGAGCAGGAACAAAAGCGACCAAATGGAACACTTGGAGCGTTCCTCAGGCTTTTGGATGGAGCTTCCAGCAAGGACGCATACAAAAGTGTAAGGTCCATTACCTCCTCAAAAGTGCACGCCGCCGGGCAATGAAGGATCCTTTGCAGGCTCAAAAACTGCACAATAACAAAGAAACTGTCGCAAATCTGCAAAGCGTGTGGGTCCACTGCCACTGTTCATACCGTGATCTAAAAATGTTTAAAGGAATTCAACTGCCAGCCAGCGGAAGGGCTTAAAGAGTGCAGTCATGCTGCGCCGCGCAATCTAATTGTGGGTCGCTGCTCTCGCTATGCTCTCACATCAGCCACTTTGCAGCAATATGCCACAGTGCATCTTAAAGTGCATAAGTCGATGCCACCCAGAAATGAAGAAAACCATGGAACAGTAAGGTTGTCACTTTGAGAGACTACCAAAAAGATCAGCACAATTTCTATACTCCACCCAACGACCGCTTTCGCTATATTGGTCATCATTGGCCTTAGTGTTGCTCCTCTTTGCGAAGGCATCTCCTGTGATATCTACTATTTACTGTGCATTATATATATATATATTCATCCGAAGTTCATCCTCCCATTCTTTCGCCCCTCTTTGTTAGTGCCACCTGCTGGCTGTACATAAGTTAATGGAACTAGAACCAATTGCCAGGTTTTCGCTCTTAGGGTTTAACCAATGGTCTTCAACTCCACACTGCACCGTTACCTCAGTGCTACTTCTGCAACTGCCACCATCGCTGCCAACACGACTATCAGCGCACCAACACGACGTCTGCTGCATAGAACCATGAAACCATATGTGCCAAATCAACAAACATCACCTTTGTTGGCTGAACATGCTGTGCTTGTCATGGGCCTCCCAATGTCGCAAGCCACACAAATCGCCCACAGCGACTACTACTAGCGATGGCCTCCAACCTACTAGCGATGGTCTCCAACCTACTAGCGAGGGCCTCCAACCTAATAGCGGTTTTTTTAAACATGTGCTCTTCCCTCATGAGAAGCAGCAACCACCATGTTGCCGCAGCCACATGTGAAGTTCAGAGTGAGTTGAATCGACCATCAGTCCTGGTCAGAGTACGGTTAAACTGTTAGTTGTTTTCTCTTCGGGATTTGTCCACTGGTGAAGCCAGCACCATCGCAGGTCTGTGTTCCCTTTTCGCTTAACTTTTTCGTGTTGCATATAGCTACTATAGTCACTATAGTCTCATACTGTTTCAAGTTCAGCGTCACATGTTGCAGAACCTTGAAGTGTTCAATTCGTGTAGTAGCAGAAAGGTTCGGGTTCTTCCAGAAGCAACCTTCACATGGTGCCCGGTGAACTGCTGACTACCACTACTCACTGCGCTGCTATTCACTCACTCTTTCCACACCCATGACCATCACTGTCACTTCTACAAGTACTCCGGTCATTGCTTGGGTGGAATTAGAACCAATACGAAAATCATGGCCAAGCAAATGTGGATTATTGACACAGAAGAGTCTCAAACGCGCCTTCTTATCTCCATCAGCAGCAAAATGACAGCCGAAGCACACGAAAGGAGCAAATAGACATGGCTCTCTACAGGTTCCTGGAAAGCAGCGGGCAAGTTTCCCTAAACATCTAGAAACCAAATCATTAGTGCGAGCGCTTCTTCGAAGAAGCGTGAGCTATCCTGCGTCCTGTCAGTAGTAGCTACTTGCAGGTAGTAGCTATCTCTCCCTACTAGCACCTCTAACTACTACCTACCTCACCTCTACCAAAAAATATCAAAGAACTTCGCTGCAGTCCAGATCCAACAAGAAGACGTCTTTGTGAATGGTAGTTACTATGCCTCAGAGTCACAATGTTTTTGTCACCATGTCTCTCTCCAATTCTCACCTTAGAGTTGCACCTCCAGAAAGGCGGTTCTCTGCAAGGAAGTGGAAGATGAAAATTGCATTGGTGGTGGCCCTCATCTTCACATCATCAGCTTCAATTCATGATGAAAATCATTGATTCAAAGCACAAACAAGTTCAATCGCATTTGTCTAACATCTGCAATTTCTGCTTTCAAATCTGGGAGCCACACCCATACACAACAGTCGTGACCTGCTGAGCTGAACCTTGAAATGTGAACGGACTGCCAGTACCTCAGTGAAGCTTCTTGAGTCTTGTTCAGCAAGTTGCACAGCTCTATTCCCTTAACCTGATTGTGCCAGCTTCCAAACCAACGTGAGATCACATCTCAGAACTCGACTGAGCGTGAAGCTCTCCAAAGATTGTCTGAAGGCCTCCCAAAAGAGGAGAAAGCAACAGCCTTCGGACGAAAATTGTTTTACATGTGCTTTTACCAGGCCTCAGTTCCCTTGCTAACATCGAGGAAGGACCGGCCACCGTCAAAGTAAGTGCCAATCTGTCACAAAGCGATTGCGACTTGCTGAGCTACCAATCCTCAAGCTTGTGTCTTCGGGCGTTGAAGGATTTCTGGGCAGTTTTCTCCCTTGGATAACTCAATCATTGTATCCCTTCACCCTGCCTTGCCATGGGCGTATGAAAAGACTTGAGAGTGCGTGAGCGATTGGAAGTAAGCCTGAAATGAATTCCAAGCGTAAGATTCTTAGCACAAACAGTTTGATTTGATGCGTGGCACATTGGCGACGTTGATGTCATACAGAGGGACGCAGTTCGGAACCTGTCCAAGCACAGTCTCACAGGCAGAGACTGGAAGAGGGGAAGCTTCAAGTGCCTCGTGCCCCAGCTCTTGACCCTTCCCCAAGATGTGCATCGCACGCAAGTTGGAACAATACCTTAGGCACAACTTGTTAAAGGAAAAAGTAGCCGGGTTTCGTGAAAAGTATGCTCTTGCTATGAAGACCACATGCTCTCTCTGTAGCTAGAATACATATCTATATATATATGTACACTTTCAGCGTCCAAAATGACTGAGCGCGAATCTTGAATTGTTCGGGTATGCAGGAGATGTCTGACGAAGCAGCCAAATGACAAATGACGACCATTGGAATTTTGGTGTCATGCATGAATATATCAAAACGTAAAGTGCTGCAAACTGGAAGAATGATTACACATTCCATGGAATGCCTCCAGAAGTCACTGTAGTAGCACTTGGCACTGAATTGCTACCTCGGACCATGTATGTACTGTTTCCATCTGTTTCCTGCATTCTCACACAACAATGTCAGTTCTCTACACATGCACATTTACGTCCGCGTAGTGCAGTCTTTTTAAGACTCGCCACCTGCTGCTGAAGTTGTCGTGCTCACCGCCTCTTGCGTCCGGACTCCCCTTCTGACCGAGTACCACAAATGCTCTGACAAAGGTCAAAGAAGCAACGTACAAGAGAAAGAGATTGCAAAAAGAAGGCAAGGCCCCCTTAAATTCTTTCTCATCTCTTCTTGCTTATATGTTGCCTTCTTTCTCTGACTCTGGAAGTGAGTTGAGTATTGAAACCAAAGAACTATTCAGAGGCACATTTAGACTATAGAATTGCGGGGCTAAATGAGGGCATCTGACTCGTCATTTGCATGTTCTTGTGACGCAACAAAAACATGTGTAGACTGTGTGAATATCCTGTGTCCATTTCCTACTTACGCAAAAGTCAAATCTCTCACTACAGTAAAAATTCCATCACATGACCCCCACAGCCACTACAGCGTCTGATACAATGCAAATGTTATTGTATTTGTTTGTTATTTACAGAGCTTGTGTTGCTTTCAGGAACAATTCTTGCAGCGTGCAGCCGGAAAGGTCTTTGAGCACGGCACGGTGGCCGCGGAGGCATTAGTGGTGTTGCTGCAAAACCTCGAAAAGTGAATCGCGAGAGCCAAATGTTTTGTCATTTTGAGAACCGATGCTTCTTTGCACTGCACACTCGGTGACCCACTGATAGGGAGAGCCCAGGCTGGTGGAAGTCTGCAGGGGAGCAAGTTTTGCAGGTAAGTGAGACACTCAAATGACATGCTGCCTGTGTGGCATCGAACCGGGTAGTCAACGTTTTCCTCAGTACTTGTCAATCAAGAAAAGCAAAAGTATACTCGCTGCCTGGTTACCTCCACCAGTTTTCCATGTCGTTTCAAGAGTGCCAAGAGCCCCAAGTGCGCCAGGTGTCAATATCTTGATGTGCAGCTCTGCCTCAAGTGGCCTCTAATCACTCTAATCTCGGATCCGAGCACAGACTCTAACAAAAGGACTGAGAGCTGAGTGCAAGCCAAGCCCAGCACCCCTCGTCAAGTAGCACTCTTTGCAATGGACCTGTTAGCCATTGCCAGTACCTGACACATGCAGCCAGTGCTGTCAACGCCTTTTCAGTGCTTGGTTGTATCAATCGGACTTCTGCGCACTGTTGCTCCGTGATGATGTCATTGAAGCTTGGTGTCACAGACCTCAGGTTAATCTTGCAGTCAATCTAAAACACATGATGTTCTGCCAGTGAACCTGGCAGGCGAAATGAGCATCCAACTGTAAGAAGCTTGAGGAATTATCTGCTTCCTGAGTGCGACTGTATTGGCTCAGTGAATTTAACTGAGGTGATGAGAACATGTTGAGGGCTTCCTGCAGTGCACGAGTGGAGTGGACTGCAGCCCAGCAGCTGTGAAGTTCGAGAAAAGAGTCTCTAATTTTTGAGATGCTAAGAGCAAGCCTCAGCAAGTTCTGGAAGCGTGTCGGGGTGTGTGAGTTAGATCTGTCTGACGAAGATCTGCACATATCTGCACCCATCTCACCCTGAGAACACCGCTAGGGCCCAACATTTGTGGCTGAACCAGAGCAACCAAGAATAAGACCTCCAAACAGCCGAAGGCGAAGGGCGAAGCAAGAAACGTTTCTCTTTCCATCGGTCCTGACAAACCACAAAGACCGTGAACTCCAAGAGTCGACACCTCAAAATGGAACGTGGCGCAGTTGTGGGTCAGGGAGAAGGCAGAAGCCAAGCAGCTGGCAACTTAGCTAGAAACTTAAGTAGCTAGTAAGCAACAGAAGCTCGGGAGAAGCCTAGACAAATAGCTGCAGGAACACAAGAGGAAGAGGCACGGAGACGAGGTAGGCACAACAGGAACGGAAGGAACTAAAGGGCGGGCTCAACCGGCCCCTTTGCGTGAACAAAACTTCAGATCCACCGCACAGGCCAGTTTTTTGTGAGATGGTGCTCTTTACATATGTTCCTTCATTTATGATGTCTATACACTAAAAACCTTAGTTTTAAGTCCAAAAGATCTGATAAGTTGTTTTGAAGGCATCGGCTGTTTCTTGTTCTCCTGCGACGCACAATGGTTCATCCAAACATCTTTGTGTACATGGATCACCGGGTCTATCTCCAAAAAGCGTAGGGTTCATACATTTCTGCTGATGTATGCAGATGGGGGGGACCAGTGTTGAAAAACAATTGTTGAAAACGGGTGTTGAACATAGAGAAAAAGGGTGTCTCAATACAAAATATACAGTACCTTTTGAAAGTTCCCTCGGTGTTTTTGGAACACCGTCTTCGGGATATGTATGAATGGCACGGGGTGGCTCAAGACCTGAATGTATGCAGAGGGGGGGGAGCGCACTCGCCTATACAAATCGTTTTTTGGTTTGTATGAACCGGGGGGACAGGGTCAAACAAAATCTCACAAAATGTATGAAGCAAAGGAAGGAGGGACAGGTCCAGAATCTAGGCCACATGTATGCACACCAGTTGGTACAGTGCTGCAATGGCAGCGGCAATGACGTTGGGGGGTGGGTTCCTGGTGGCTTTGGTTTTTTTTTGTTGTTACTATTTTGTCTTTGGTTCCAACCGCTCTCTGTGCCCGCTACCCCTTTGTGACTCCTGGTATATAAATTTCCCTGCTGATTCCTGTGGCTTGCGAGTTGGTTCATGTTTTCTTGTTGGCCTCTGGCAACATCACGGAACAGGGACAAATTTGACAAGGGACCAAGGATGGACCCCAATATATTCATACATTCTATTCTCTTCTTCAACAAAAGTATGCAGTGGGTAGGAATCCCTCAGGAAGGATACTTTGTTCAAGGGAAATGTATGGAGGGGGGGACATCATACAATCGTGTTATTGGCCAAGCTTCTGGGGAGAACGATGGAGAACGTGCGCGTATGCCCTGGTAGGCCATGGTTGTTTTGATGCGGAGGAGAGGCTTGTGATGACCAAGACGCTCACGAAGGCTTGCCAGGGTAATACCCAGAGATCGCCCAATCTGCTCCAGATCTTTGGAACCCAATCCCAAAGCTCCCAGGCCGGCAAAGACACAGCCACACAGGCGGCAATCACCACAGTCGGCCATGATACCCAGCCGGACAAGCAGGCAACAGCAGTCACCACAGGCCATGAACCCCAGCCACATGAGGTGACACCGACAAGAACAGGAAGCACAGCAAGTCTGTCACCACCTGCTCCTAAGAAGCTCCGGTTCTCGACAACCCCTGAGGCATGTGCAATGCCAAATGATCTGAACTTGACAGGACCACCTGCCAGCTCTCCTGGCTCTGAAGGTGCTACGAGCACCGAGAGTGCTGAAGAAGAACTCCAGGAGCACGACCCCGTGACGGTGGACTACTTCTGAAAGCCAGCAGAGTGAGCGACGGCACTAGGTCTCAACCAGCCAAAAGGGCACAGCTCAGGCAACTTTAGAAGGGAAAAAATACCTACATACATACAGTTACATACAGTTACATACATATATAGTGATTCACCCGACACCATGCAACATGTATTGAAAATAGAGGCCGGTTAAGCCCCCGCAAGCACAAACATGTTCAGGCCTCGTGTCTGCCCGCTTGCGACGCTTCTTTTCCTCGACAAGAATCAAAGAGTTCCATCTTTGGTTTTTGCGAAAACTACACTGCTTACTCGTGCCTCTTCAACAAAACATGTAGTTAGTTGTGCAGACAATCCAATGTCTCGCCGCAGAACAAAATATTCTATCCCAACACGCTGTCCACATTCTGGCCTGGCCCTGTTGCATTAGGTCGTTCAAAGACGGGATAACATCCATGTTAATCTTTGCAGCCTGACACACATAGCACTCAGTTATAATACTCTCATATCCTTTGATAATAAACCTTCGTTCGAACCTCTCCATCTTCACCTCCGCGCTTCTTTCTGGCATTTTCAAGCTCCTTTGCAAAGGGCTGTGCACCCAAGAAACACGTGATAAAACACAGGGCAACACATCGTTTTTCTCCAGACTGCAGGCGTCAGTTATTTTGCAAGTTCCCCATAGAACTGGCAAGTTTCCCCATGTGTGTGAAACCTTCCTTGGTCGGAATCCGGGCGAGTCTTAATCTGCAACTGGAAATAAGGGATGAACAAGACAACCCTCCGTCTCCTTCTCCAACTGTCGCTCGTTAAAAGTAAAGTCCTCGGTTTGAAGACTGCTTTGCAAAAGATAGACCGGTCTGCAAAATCCGCCCGCACCGAAGGTGCTGAGGCGTTGTGTCGGCTCCGGTGGACTGGAAGATTAGCTGCTAGATAGCATAGTTTGAGCTTTAGCTTGGGGGGAGGCACGCTTTTGCTCTAGAATATTTTGTTTTTCCAGCTTTTAAAAATTTGATATATAATTATTGACCTCGTGCGTACGATTGGTGTGGATTCGGAGCTAGGCATTGGCGATGTCGGTTACGCAGCCCCAGGGATACTGCATTATTGACATCGTGGGTGTGTTCGTCAAGGCGTCCTGCTCGACAGAGCTAATTTTTTGAACTGACCACCCGTCTTTCCGTCTTTCCCTCACGCTACACTTCTTCACGCTTTGAGCCCATGAACTATCCGACCCAATACTCCACCAGTCTACTCGACTCCGACAACCTCCGTGCGGGCGGCTTCGACCGCGAAGCGGTGTGAATATATAAGCTTACTTCAAGTCCCCCCGCTTCCCATTTTTCTCCTTTCGGCCTCACAGGAAATGGGATGCAAAGGCCAAACAAACATCTTGACGAAATGAAGCCTGTTCAAGTCTTCCTTGCTCAGCACTGTGCTAGCACCTGAACAACCATTGCCATGCAATGCAAAAAAAAACACACACATCTCTCGGGTACTTAGCACCAAATGCCAGAATTTGGACTTTCAATGCTTTCAGGACTATTCAAGGCTCCGGCGGACAAGGGTCAAACAATAGTTCCGGCCTGCAAGTAGGGAAGGCCGCAGTAAATTGTGAGTCACATAAAGCAAGACTTCCGCATGGTTGAGCTAAGAAGGGATGAATGAAAGGTTGCCTCGGAAAAGGATAGATCATTCGCCTGCAGTCTGCTGAAACCTCTGCTGAAACCTGATGAGGATGAGGATGGAGCAGGAGAGGAGAGGGGAGAGAAGAGGAGAGAGGAGGAGAGAGGACAAGAGGGGAGAAGAGAGAAGAGAGGAGAAAAGGGATGAGAAAAGAAAGAGCGCGCAAAAGATAGAAAACAGGAGGGAGAGATGAAAACGAAAAGAAAGAAAGAAAGAAAGAAGGAAAGAAAAAGGACAGAAAGAAGAAAAGAAAGAAAGAAAGAAGGAAAGACGGACTGACGGAGAAAAGAGAAAGAGAAAGAGAGAGAGAGAGAAGGAGGAGAAGAGACGAAAGGGAAGACAGAAGAGAGAGAGAGAGAGAGACAAGTGAGAGAGTGGGAGAGAGAGGGGGAAGCGAAACAAAGGAAAAGGGGACACAAAAAGAAAAAGAGAAGAATGAGGGGAGACAGAAAAACGAGAGGCAAAACCAAGAAGAGAGGAGATACAGAGAGAGACGCGAGCGACAAAGCAAGGAGGCAAGGCAGGTGAGGGAGGAGGGGAGGCAGGGGAGGGTGTTGCTGAGCGACTCTTGCCTGATGTAGTAGGAAAAGGCATTACTAGCAACAAGTGCATCGCTACTAGTAACAAGGGCATTACTACTAGTCACAAGAACCTACTAGTTGCTAGTAGCGATGCACTTGGACTAAAACTGCCACTCGCGGACTCCGCAGAGTTGGGGGCCTATATGTATTGTAGAGAAAAACAAGCACGAATGACCAGTGAATCGGGAGAGATTGGACAATGCTTGTACTTCTGGTCTTAGGTCTGGAAGCTTGGGAACATTCAACATGCTCATCATACTTATATACAAATCACTGATTGGTTGATGCCTTTCACCATCCAAAGATCCCTCTCTTTCTGTTCGCCTGACAGACAAGATGGAGCAAAGTCACTCACACAACATGACCCAAGGCAAAAAAGGTCTTCGACATGCCTGGCGGCGCTCCCTCATCTGGCACCTCATGTGCAAGCCAACAAACGCTGCTTGTGATGTAGGCTACAGCAGCTGCAGCTCAGTGCCACGCCAGGGCAGAAGAACTCGAGCTTTGCAAACTCCTTTTGCTACCCGAGGTTTCAACACATGAAGCAAGCTTCTTTCTCGGGTAGGATAGCTAGTAGAAAGGGGTAACTACTAAGCTTAAGAAGCTACTAGCAGCTCGGATGCAAGAAAGCTTGGCGGGGGGAGCTTCCTTGAAGACACCCTTCATTTGGTTCCTAGCTTTTTTGAGAAACTCAACTTTGAAGCTGTCCTGAGATGAGGATTTGTTGGTGGCACCTTGGAACTTCTGTGAAGCAATGCTGCAAGAAAAACAAAGCAACTAAGCTGCTCTAAGAAGTAGCTGAGCCACCGGAGGGAGGACGATGTCCACTAGTCTCATATGATCAAGCCTGATACAAACCAAGTCCAACTGCAACAATTGGTAACGAGTCATGCAAGTGCTATACAGGTGCTCTAGCATCACTTGAGAGCATGACACGATGCGGCCATCGCCGTCCAGGAAGAATACTTTGTCAGGGTCCAAGCCTCATCTGTTTAGCACTCGAAAAGGGCGTGTCAGACTGTCGAACAAAGCGATTGAGACAAGCTGCCCCAGTACTTTGCAGCTTGTTTCCCCAAGCTTTCAACCTCGGTGCAAGGCCGCTCCTTTACATACGCAAACCGTTCTTTTCTGCTGTCCAGCATTTTGCACTTGAGAGAGGAGGGGGTGAACGAAAGGTAGCAGGCAATCACAAGCAACCCTGGTAAAAGTCCATGACGGCGTGAACCGGTGCAGGGGGGATTTGACCCCCCGACGAACAGAATCAACTCTTACAGGACCAAATTCAATGCACAATCCCAACTCCTGATTGTAATACATTTTTGCTAAAGCAAGGAGAACTCAGGTAGCTCAAGCTACCTTTCGTGATTACTTTGCAAGCTGGACACTCCCGAGGAAAGCTCGAAACAAATGAGGCTCAAGCCTTCTCGTTCAAATGGATCAGAAACTTGGCATCTCTGGAGCCTGCTAGCGGAATGCCTACTGCTGTGGTCCAATTTCGATGCCTCTTTATTTGCAAGCATTGGTCACTCGTCCTGCTCCTTCACCATTGATGTGAAGGTTGAAGCCCGTAGTTTCTGTGCCAGTGAGAAAATGTACATCGACCATCATCTGCTCATCCTGCGCCAAGAAGAATTGAGTCGAACCACTGGAGGACAGTGCCTAACAAAATCTCAATTGCATATGGTGGGGGAAAGTGAATACCACCCCAAAGTGAAACTTGAGTGGCGAAGTGGAAAGATGTGCAAAGTGGCAACAACTGCTTTGTATCAACTTCATTAATTGCATGTCTTTCATACCGATTACATGCCACCAATACATACCTGTTATACTACATCAATATCCTCGCGTCACTTTTTGAGTCTCGAGTCCTCGACTTTCGGCCTTTTGCGCAGGAAGCGATCGATGGTCTCTTTTGTGACCTCAAAAAAATAGGAAGTGAACGCACAGAACTTCGTCCATGATCTTCATGTTTTTCCTAAAAATCTAGTGCAAGCGCTTCTTCAAAGAAGCTCCCGCCTGCCCTCAGGCAAGGGAGCTTCCTTGAAGAAGCGTGAGCTATTTGGAGCAAACTTAGCCCTTGTTTAATTATAGTAGGTAGTCCAGGTAGTAGGGGCGGCCGAGCACCCTTTAAAAGAAAAAGTGGGAAGCTGGAGGAGAAAGAAATGGGATGTGGAGCAGGCTGCTCCGAGGATCGAACGCTCAGAATGCGAAACTTCTGATCTGTGTCCAGCGTTACTCTTTGCTGTGACCTCCCATGCACAGCTTGCAAAGTGAAATTACAGGAGCTGAAATAGCTTTTCTTGCTGCAAGTGCAATGAGAGACTGGACTGACGCAGACTGCAACTACAACCAAGCCCAAAGGTTTTCTCTCTCTGACACAGCACTTTCCTCATGCGTTGCTTTCCGCGTCGCCATGTTTCTCCGCACCTTAACTCATCCAGGTGCTGCCTTTCCTGTGCATATTCATCGTTGCCTTGGGTTAGTCAAGTCACAAGTCCATTCTTGCAGTGCTGCGCATGGGCTACTGCATAAAACGGTCCAAAAGTTTGTTACAACAAAAATAAAGGAAAACCAAAATCGACTAGAAAAAATGCAAAAGAAAACGGAAATTACAAAACCAATATAGAACTATATATTTTGCAGTATAATGAATACAAAGCGCGGCAGCCTTTGTGCAAAATGCATTTGGGCATGACAACAGCGTGACTTGGGCTGCAGCATTCTTTCAGCTTGTTCTGCAACTCCAGCATTTCGAATTGCTCCTTCAAAAACAACGGTGATCCTTGGAGCAAAGCTTTATTTCAACCTGTTGAACCCCCAACTCCGGCCGCATCATTTGCTTTCTTAGTTCTCCTTCTGCAGCGCTTTGTTCAGTTCAACCTACGTCACTGGTACAAAACGCCTCAGAAACAATTTTTGTTCAACAAACGCAACGCCTCTTCCTTTTTCATTCTCCTTTGTTGATCCTGTCACACCAAACGAACAACCGTCCAAACAGCGGTCAGCAATGCCCGGAAAGCACCAAAAGCTTGGTTGCCAACCTGAAGCTGTTCGGCTTTTGTAATTCGCTCAAGAGGCTTCCCGAACTCATCAAAGCCTTCCACCTGGCTGAATAACAAAAACCCTGCGTTGAAGCAATCATGATTTACCATCACCTTCAAGCTTTCGATCCTTTTGTGATCCTCTTCGCCTTGATCCAAATCAGGACAGGACTGCCCATTCTTTCCTGCTTTCCATTTCCATGGCGCAAGAGCTAAGGGGGAACCAAATCCCCTGCACAAAGTCTAGGAAATTAGTCATCTAGAACGATTGCATTTCACTCTATCACACAAGGTTTTGTCATTTAGGCCTGACGGCGTGCTAATGACGGCCCATCCTTTTTAGATTGTTCGGAGGCACAAGCATAGTTGTCATGCACTGCACTTACTAAACAGTGGCAAAGATCATTTATGAAAGAAGGATTGCTCACACTCTTGAAGAATCCAATTCAGCTGTGTTCGCTAAAAGCCATGTCACTGGAGTGAGCCAAATTGCTTTGCTGAAGTCAGCTACTGTAGCTAATCATTGGCTGAACTGCAGGATGAGGGATGCTGACCAGCTGAAATTCAATGTGTCCAGCAATACTTCCCAAAGGGTTCTATACCTTCGGATTAGCACTGCCTGTAGATGATGAGAGCTCCCACCAGGATGTCCCACCTCAGCTTCCACCTTAGAAGATGATTGCAAACATTGCAAGACTTGGCCGACTAGAGTCACGAGAGGGCTCCGTACCTTTTGCTAATTGCGATTCCGAATGCGCAAAATGAGAAAGTGTCTGAACACGTTCCGTACCACCCCGCTTTGATGAAACGACAAAAAGGCTCAAAAGCTGCCGCTGATCAACCCACAATGAATCAAAAAAGCGTTCCCAAACACCTGGGAGGGAGTGAGTTATATATATCAGTTCAAAAAAAAACGTAAAGAGCTGTATAACAAACACGGAAATCGTTGTGGGGAACGAGGATGTCAAAAAGGAATGCGTGTTCTGTGACCCAAAAGAAAACACAGTGATTCCCAATCAATGGTTGTTGCCTGCTAACATTGCTACACATATGCTTAGCGCCCTGCCAAAAATTTGGAGGTATGATGTATCGCGCCAGCAGGCAGCCCTGACATTTGAAAGCAACACTACAGGCCTTGTTCAAAACGATTTCACTTCAACCTCAGTTTCTTCGGTCAGCTCAATTTCCTTGGTAAGCGCATTCATCCTGCCAGTCGTGCTGCAAAGAGCTTTGCTCAAGTTCACTGGATGTAAGCAAACGGCTAAGTTCCACTTGGATTCCAAATTTGGTCTTGCCTTCGAGTGGAGAGAAGTACTGGATAAGCCGAGTTTCTGGAGGATTTGGTTCCTGACAAGCACAGGCACTTCATCAGGTTCACTGTTTAATGTGCCAGTCTGACTGTGCGCGCAGGTGTTAATTGTGTTCATGTCTTTCTTCCTTGTCATTTCAGTGTGGCAGGAGGTGGTGAAGTTTTGATGGTGAGCTCGAAGTCATCCCCCGACCTGCAGAAGTCAAACTTCCCAGTGTTCTGGAAGTTAGCCGCTTCTTTGCCTGACATGGGAGGTGAAAGTGGTTCAATGGTTCAAAACAAACTGTGCAAAGAGCTAAGCAAAGGAAACGGACAAGGAAGTTGTGGAAAGATCCCAACTTTGGTGTGCCAGCTGGTTTATGCAGACCCAAACGTCAACGTTGAGTCAAGCTCATGAAACGCCAAACGGAGCTTCATGATCTATATAGGTGGCTGAGCAAGAACTGACTGGGAAGTCACATCCCGCAGTCTTCAGTGTCGGTTTCCGGCACTCCTTCAGGTAAACATTCCAAACCCTGCAACGATTTGCCGTTGTTGGATGTTGTGACGGTTACGTGCTGTGTGAGGTTTGGTGATATGGCAAAGGGCCAGGCACAACCCCAACAACGCGTCTATATAGTTACGTCTTGACTGCTGCTGCATTCCCCCAACCTACGCCATGTTCACCACTCCCCACAAGACTCTGCACTAGCATGCCCCACCTACAGTTCCTGTGACATGTCAAAAACTGCTGCCACAAGACTGCACCACCTTTGAAAGGCCATCCCATGTCTCATGGCCGAAGCACAGGAGCAGCGGCTCAACTTCAATCAGCAATCACACTTTTAACGGCTAGTTTTTTTAATCATCAAAACCAAAAACCAACAGAAAAGTGCAGGCGCAGCAGGCACTTCTGCATGTTGGTTGAATTTCTTGTGGGTCGTACCCAAATGCAAAAATTAAAAGCAGGACTGGGATGGCACCCAGAACGCCACCAGCACCATCCTGCAACCAGTGAAAAGTGCAGTGGACTGCAAACCAATGTGAGCCTTCGCAAAGTTCATTGCTATCCTACTGAGCGGCCACTTTGGCCTTATTGTCCTCGGCACGCGGCCAGCGATGCTAGCGCGGGTGAGGCTGGTAGCCACCTTGAGGCTGGCTCTCTAACCAGCCAAACCTGGGCAAGGAGGATGTGTGGTGGTTCCAATTTCAACTTTTGCCTGAGGGCCCGCTGAAGGCCAATCCGGGCGCCAACATCCCCGCTCTGGAGATGCTGGGACCCTTGCTACTTGCGTCTTTTTTGATTGCCAAAAGTAAGCGGCAACTAGGAAGATGCCTACTGCTCTCGCTCCTGGATTCGCCCCATAACGCTCTCAAGGTCCTCCAGAGTGTTACGCTTTTCGCCATTTTGGCTGGATGACCAAGGTGGCCATGCAGGTTCGGGCGTTGCTTTGGTCTTGGATTTGCCCTTGCCCTTCCCTTTGGGCTGTTGTTTCCATTGGCGCTGGGTCGGGGACTTCCCCCCTCCCTTGGCGCTGGAACCTCCACTTTGGGTGGGTTGAAAGGATTACAATCATTCACACAATTCATCAGGGTCCTGCTTGGTAGCATTGAATTGAGAGCACTGGGAAAAGCCTGCGTGCACATGACCAGGGTGTTCCGGGACAAGGCGCAAGCGCTCGAGCTGGGTTGTGACGGGGGCGACAATGTAGCCGCAGCCGCTGGCTCGCCGGAAGCCGCAGTAGGCGAAGAAGGCGACATAGCCCCGTTTTCAAGGCCACAGGCGCCTGCACCGTCAGGAGCAGGCGCGTCTACATGCAGGGCTGTCGTGGTCTCATTCAACTCTGTCTCGCATTTGGCAAAGTCCGCGTGGGTCACGGACTTGGCGTCATCAACTTCTTGTCGTAAGTCGCACACTTCCATGTTTTTAAAACGTACCCAAAACGCAGGCGATTTGCTCACCCACGATGAAAAAACGCACGGTTGCGACAAGCCGTGTTACCATGTGTTTATAGAATAGAGACCCTTGGCAAATTTTGTAGGTCAACATATACGGTGAGCTGAAGTTGTCGGTTCCTTGTGCCACATGGCTGCTGCTGTATTGTATGAGGACACATATGATGCATTCATTATTCGTCACATCATCAGTACATTGCCCAGCTCAACCCAACTGCATGGGTACAAGGTTCTAGCGGCTGGCGTTGATTTGATTCCTTCTATCTTTTCCGGAACTGGTGATGTGATTTAAAAACCCCTCCATGAGATAGCAGAATCCCTAGCATTCTTTATTAAGTTCAGAATAGATTGTGTGACATGCTGCCGCAGAACTCGCAGTGCCATAAAGATAAAGGAACAAATCAATACTTGCAGAAAACTGAAAAGTTCCATCCTAGCTACATCCGAAGGTTCGTGTGATAGCTTCTCAGCTTCTGGGGCCACGACCGCATTGGAAGGAGTCAAAGGCGGAGATGGCAGCTCGATGGAAGGGCCTTAGCCACTTGATGACTGAACGATGGCAGCTCGTGTTTGTCGGGCCTTGAAGCAACTGGACAAACCAAAATTAAACGGGATTTAAAATTCTAAGCGTTGCTTTTCACTGGGGGTGGTAGGCCATGAAGAAGCTTGTTACTGGTTTTGAGACTGCAACGCGCTTTCCTGATGCCAGGCTCCGAGTTCATCTCCTCTTTTGTGTCCCTGAGTCTCTGAGAGAGGCGTTCTGGGCAGCAAAATTGGAATTAAAATATTTGCACTTGGGTTGAGGCGAACTGGCCAATCGAAGGAGCGCAAGCCTCATCACGTTACATACATCTGGAAAACATCTTGACAGTGTCCTGAAACCCAGAGCTACAGACGGTATAGGAACTGCTCGATCGACACTCAGAACAACTGGTGGCAGTTCTTCAGCTCCAGTGGCCACCTCTCACAAAATGTGTGAATTGTAATTACTGCGCAAAACTTGAATGATATGCTGATAATGCCGGGGTTCAAAGACTTGAGATTTGAATCACACAATTGACAATTGAGGTTCGGACTCCTCGAAGTAAAACCAAAGACTGGCAAAGATGACAACAAGATTCCAAAGGTGCACTGAGTTCAATCAAGGTCTTTAGAAAAAACGTTCAAGTAAAGGTAAAGCGCATTCAGTTCAATCATTCATCCGACCGGATTGTTTGCTTTCCCAGCAATCCCTGTTTCGATTCAGGAAGGTTTTGGACGCAAGGAGAAAGGAACTTTCCTTCACCCGTCCAGCTGCAGCTAGACCAGTATCTTTTTAAACCCACCCAGACTGGGAGACTTCTATTTGCACTGCTCAATCTTGGCTGAAAGGACTGTATCCAGAGCTTCCGAAAAAATGTGCTTGCTTTGTATCTTCAGGTTCCATCCGACTGTGTACGTCATGGGCCTTTTGTTCTGCCAAAACAGTAAGGTGCTTCTAGAGGCCTTCCCGGAGAAATGTCAAACAGTGTTGAGGCAGTAGTCAACAGCGAAGAAACCATTACTTTGTGTTGTTTGGAGTGGCTTGTATACGTGTGACGAGGGCCACAACTGTTTCTCTTGCCAGTGACGAACCGTCTTCAATTCTTGGTGCTTAGACTGTAACTTTGAACATGAAGTCTGTTGGTCCGCCTTAAAATACTTTCTACTGAGGGAAACTTTCTATCGACTCAGTCGAGAAACCAACTAGAGCCTGGAAGTTTTTGATGTATTTTCCTCATCTCTTTAGTGCTGCCCATGTTGCTCATGACTTGCATAGGAGTGGCTGACGCTGGCGCTGGCAAAGTTTGTTATTGCATTCTTTATCAACAACATGACATAGTATTATTATGTAGGATAAAGAGTTTCCAAAGCACCAAAGGCAAAAACTGTGCATCAAGAATCGTGTGCCCCAGAGCGTCCTGCCTTTGCATCTCGTTCATCAAATGGATTGGTTCTGAGAGGTGAGCTCAACACCTAGCAGCTATAGCAGCTAGCATGAATCTGATCTTGCATTTTTTTTGAAGCGCTAATGCTCTGAAGCTAGCAACAGTAAATCTTCAAGCCTTAACCATCTCTGCTTTGGCTTTCTCCTGAAACACTCCCCGACAATGAACCCATAGCAATCCACAAAGGAGCCTTTGCACACGAATACGACGCCAGTCCTCGTTAGCTTCCACTCGAGCCATTGCTTCCGGAAACCGAAGCAGGACATCAGCAAGACAATCCTTGGAACTCGGCAACTCGACACGAACTGCGCAACTGCAGAAAGCTATGCTGTACGAAAGCTATGCTATGCGAAGGCTGTGCTGCGCTCCTTGTTGATCGCAAGCACGTCCGTTCTGCTGCTTAAGCCACGCACCTTGTCGAAGCAGGAGCATGTCCAGTGTCCAGGTCTGTGTGTGCGCGGTCGGCAACTGGAGTGTTCGGGCTTCCGGACCATGACTGGAGCAGCCACGACATGACCGATCAAATCAGAACTGCGATAGAGACCACAGAGAACCTCCACAAGATGTGGTCGCTGTCACTCTCATCTCATCCAGGATCCAGGCCTCTTGTTCTTCCACTGACTCCTCAGACAACGTCTCCTGCACAAGCTAGCAAACCCTAATCTCTCCTGATTCTTTGATTGTTGACTCATCGACTCGCCACCATCACTCCTCCAAAGGACTGCTCATTTCGCTTCGTTTCAAGCGCTGGTGAGCCTCAGTTGAAAAGAAAAGAAAAACTGAAAAGCGGGATGCGGACCTTTTCGAGGTAATCTCGGGCCTATACATTTGCGGTTTGTGCGTGTCATCCTTATGCAGTTCATGCATGAGTGGATGTCCTTATGTTTCCTCCATACATTCTATCACGCCCTCTCCACTCAAGCATTTACTGCACATGGATGTGCCCTCTGCCTGTGCAAAATGTGGCAGTTAGGGCTGAAGTGGATTTTGATGCGGTTTCCCTTGACTGTCCTGTACATCAGTCTCTCGCGCATCAGTCTCTGACCATGTTGGTCTGAAATTTGAAATTGTCGGAAAATGTCGTTCCGCTGCTGCCTGAGGTCTTTTGCTTGCTCTTCCAACTCAATCACATACTCTTCCAGTCGAATCACCTCGGCTTGCAGCTCTTCTGTTTGTTTCTTGTAGTTCTGGATCACTTCGGCTTCTAGCCATTCCGTGGCTTGGGTGCACTTCTCTTCCATCGTCTTTTCTTCATCCTCCTTGTAGTTCACATACTCCGTGATCATGGTCTTGATGACCTCATTCATGAAGTCCAAGCGCTTCTTCAGTGCACGCTGTACAAGACCATGCCGCAGCCAATGCACCAAGCTCAAGGCCCCGATCAAAGCCAGTGAGCAAAATGCCCACCAACTCCATTCACCTTCCATTTCATCATCCTTTCCATTCACTCTTGAACCTGCCGCCATTTCCATGTTGGCCATCATCATCAGCAGGCCGATGTGTAGGTCCTTCTTTCCTTTCACGACTTTCTTCATTCCTCGTTTCATCTGCTCTCGATGCTCCATCTCCTGGAACTCCTCTCTTCCAATCTTGTCTCCTGAGCTGTCCACCATCTTCAACATGTAGAGCAGCCCAAAGAGCCTTCTTCGCGTCAATGACTTCGTCCCGATGTCTGCTGAGTTGATCTCGGTGGGAATGGCGCTCACCGCCAAGACCTTCTCTTTCTCCTTCTGTTGGATCCAAAGGAGGGCGGCATCTAAATGCCTCACACGGCCAATCCCCTGTCGTTGGGCCAATCCCCTGTCGTTGGACCATGGCTCGTGCTGCAGAGCTGTCGCTCCTCACTTTCATCTCGAGCTCCTCCTTGGTCATCTCCATCCATAGGTGGCGAACAAGTAGCCCATCTGAGCAGCCACCTACCATTGCCACGAACTCTGATTCTCCCGACGACAGGGAGATGCTCTTCTGGCCCCTGACTCGGGACTCCATCAAGTTGCCGTCCAGGAACACCTGAAAGGACGCGGTGCTTTTCCTGTCGTTCTTGTTGCCAGCATAGTCGGCATCGGTCACGATCTCCAGCAGATGCAACTGCTTGTCTTCCACCTCATCAATCTCCCTGGTGTCCATGACCGATTGTCCTTTTACTCTTGCGCTGAGCCGGATGCCAAATCCCTCGGTGCCCTGGAGGTAGGAGCATACATGCCATGCTGTCTTCCATGCTTGCTGGGTTGGCTTTGCCATGTATCGCGCCAAGCTTTGAATTGCAAACTGGGCATCAGGTCTTTCTCCAGCCATGTACATCAGCCTTCCGACCACACTTCTGAGCTTTGTGATCTCTGCACCTTGGAGTTCTTCACTTGTGTCCTTCTTGGTGTTCTGCTCCAAAGGTGTCTTGCGGTAGGCTTTCTTGAAGACATCAACATCCTTTGAGATGCTTTCATACTGCTTGTAGTCGCACCGGATGTCACATTGTTCTTCCAGCAGCTTGAACTCGCGCTTCAGGTAGTGAAACCTTTCTCCCATGCGGAAGGGTCCTTTGGCCTCCACATTCCATTTCATCTTCTCCTGCAGGAAGTTGACAAAGTCCATCAGCGCTCCTTCTCTGCCTACCATGAACACATCGTCCACACGCACCGTGATGTAGATCTCTCGGTGCTTCATGAGAAGCGTGGGCTGCATGATGTTCTGGCTGAGTCCAAAGCCTTTGCCGTGTCGGCAAACAAGTTGAACCATTGTGAGACAGCTGTTCTCTGGCCAGGCAAGCACCTGATCAGGCGGTAGATCTTGCCATCAAGCTCAACAAAGGCTCCCTCCTCTTTCGGTTGCTCAGCCATGGGGAATGCATCTTTGATGTCCAGGGTCATTGCTGTGAACTCCTTGAAGACATTCAACATCAGGTGGATGAGGAGTTTTGGCACTACGAGCATTGATGTGGGTGCAAATGTCTGCTTGAGGTCCACGCTGTTCTTGAACTGCCGCGCCACCACCTGAACCATCCTCCTTGTTCCACCCGATGCTTCCAGCAGACCACAAACTTCGTTGAGATGATGTATCCTCCTGAGCTCTGAACATCATCTTCATTTGCCTCCTCCATCACTGGAATCTTCTTGAGTCGGCTCACTTCATTTTCCCTGGCCTCCTTGTCCATCAGCATCAAATGCTCATCACTGGTGATCGGTGGCTCATCTGCTTCATCTGGAGCGTAGAGCAACTCCTCAGTGAGTTCTTCTGGAATCCATTCGTCTCCCATCTCCTCATCTCCGTGGGCTTCAATGGCTTGCACACCAGCGTACTGAGGAGGATACAACCTTGGGATCTTACTTGGTGACGTTGGGATTGTCCTGTCATCTTCAACAGCTTCTCTCTCCCTCACAATCCCAGATGGTTGGTTAGCATCCTCACCTCCTTCTATCTTCTGCTTCTTTTCGCCCTCTTCTTCATCACCTTCATTTTCACGCTTGTCATGGGCTCTTCGAGGTGATGTCTCCATATCAACTCTCTTTGCCTCTGCGCCTTCCTCCTCATGTTCACCTGCTCTCTTCATCCTGGGTGTTGTCGAGGTTGGTGCAGGTGTCACTGGCGCCGCAGTTGGCAGGCTAGGCATACCCGGAGTCGTAGGTTGAGCCTTCGATCCAGGTGCTGGAGTGACAACTCCTGCTGCAACCGCCTCGGTGACTGCCCTCATCTCTTCCTCTGTAGCCTCCATCTCCAGAGTTGGTTGTCTGTATCGTTGGGCTTGTCCACCATGTTTCATCATGACGCCTTGAGGCGAATAGCTCCACGGGAGACCCTTGGCTATGACCATGTCTGTGGCTACGAAACTCTCCTCCATGGCCAGCCTGTCCCTCGGGGGTCAGAATGACATGGGCGTCGTTCCATTGGTTCTTTCCAACCCAAACTCCTCTATGGAAGATGTCATTCCCTTTGTATTGAGTCAGCTTGCGAAACATCACACTCTCTCCAAACAATGCAAGCTTCCCCCGGTAGCTGTGTCCTGTTGCCAACTCGTAGCTTGCGCGCCCAATTTTGTCCAGGACTCGAAACCTGTTGACCAGGAATGAAGCATAGCGGAATGACCAAGGATACATGTGGAAGCTGCCGGCTATCTGAATGAATGCTTTGCCCTCTGCAAATGATCGAAGACAGTTTGCCAGCTTTCGTACTGTTTGTACTCCACGTTCTGCTTGGCCATTTGACTCGCGCTGTCCGCTGCCTGTCAACCTGATCTCGCAAGGCAGTCCCATCACCGTCCTGACTTGCTGCACAGTCCTGAGCACCTGTCGCATCGCCCTCTCTGAATCACCCTGGAACACACATGGATCTCTCGAAGAATTTTCCAGGGAGAACCTGATGACCTCCTCCACGACGGTCTTCAAGCTTGCAGATCCTTTCGAGGGTATTGGCACGACGTGGATTGCCTTCGTTTCCGATGAGGTCATGATGAGGCATGTCCCATACTGGTCTGACCTCTCTGCGACCTTGTCAGGTGGCTTCTCATCCAATCGCCTGTCCTCACCGGTGTAGGTGAAGAAGAAGAAGTCCAGCTGGATCACATTTCGTCCCAGGTCAGGTTTCTCCTCTCTCAGCTCGCGCTTGTCCTCTTTAGCTCGGCTAGCGACGCAAGCTTGGCACCATGCTGCATAGGGGGTGTGGGTCACAAAGTGTGCCTCTTGATCCTTCAAAGATGGTAGCTTTGGCTGTCCCAGGGTCATGGGCTTTCGCTGCTGCTCTTGGAACAACTTGTTGGCGATGGAAAGCTTCAGCTTGTTCTCGATGTTGATCTTGAAAGCCAACAGTCTGTCGAGCAGCCTTCGTTTACTGCCTGTGTATGGCAGCTCGCGTTCCTTGCAAGCCATTTGTAGCTCCTTCGCCGACATCTTCTCGGTGTACATCACTTCATCTAGTTCAATCTCATCTGGCCTGTCAGCCACCACCATCTTCTCGATGTCTTGAGCCTCCAGCTGCATTTCCAACTCCTCCTCACCTTCTCTCTCGTCCTCTGACCAATCCAGTCTTCCTCGAGGCTCTCTCCTTCTCTCTTCAGGATATGGCCTGATGGGAGCCTCGGAGTTCATCTCCATCTCTGAGGGTGCGAAAAAGCTCAACGTCCTCAGGGGTCCTCCTGTCCCCAATCTCCTGAATGCCGTGGGCCCCAACTCCACGTAGTTGCCGATGTTCTCTACTTGGCTCCACATTCCATCGGCATCCTTCACCAAAGTCATGCGGGCCTTCCAGTGGTCTTCAATCTGGCCTCTTGGATCGGTCATGGAAACTGCCACTGGGTCACTGTAGGCGACGATGCCATTTGGAAGTCTGTGCCGTCCAGGTGCCATCTCTAACTCCTCAATATACTTGCTCAGTGTCCCCCTCAGCATCAGCACTCTTGCCTGGTCCCATTGTCCTTCTTCAGGTTGCTTTCGGGGGCAGTGACCACGAAGATGTTGGCTTCGAACTGCAATGAGTTTCGTTCACTTCGAACTGGAACTGACACATCTTTCTCTTCGTTCCTCAGGCTCAAGCCATGATGGGTATTGCAAATGCTCCAGCCTTTCCGAAGTAGCTTCCCTGCGCAAAGGATGGGGTGCTGTACGTTGCCAAGGATGAACTCTTCCACCATCTCGATGGTCTTCCCTTTGCTATCAACTGTTCGTAGGCGGGCCTTCGTCACCCCATCATGCGCAATGCGTTTTCCTTGAGCGTCAATCATCCTGAGCTCTTGTGAACCTGCCTTCCAATGCCCAACATCAGCGTAGGCACGCGGCAGGACTGACACATCTGCTCCACTGTCAAGGGTGATCAGGCAGGGCTCCTTTGTCTCTGTCTCCTCATGCCTCACCATCTGCACAAAGAGCTCTTCCTCCTCGTCTTGCAGGTCCATGGCTACAATGGTAGTACCATAGGGAACTAGTACTGCCGGTTCTATGCAGTCCATGAACACCTCCTCATCATCTTCTGTCTCCATGTGGTCCTCGGTCTCCTCCTCAGCCAGGACCATACCCACTCGCCATGGGTAACTCCCATCATCATCGGAGTCTCTTGGTGGTCAAATCAAAGACTTCAAGTGTCCTCGATTCCGGTGGGGTTTCCAACCTCACCATCTTCACTGCAGCCGTTCCAGGCTGTCCTGACGAAGAGCTGGCTCCACCTGGGTTGCTCTGGGTGGCAGTCGCTTGCTCCTCAACTTGATTCACACTGGCCTTCTTCGACCAGCAGTCTTTTGCCCGGTTTTGCCACAAACGTGGCAGGCACCGGTCTTTCCTCCTTTTGCACCTCGGTCGGCGCTCTTCCCTTTCTTTCCAAGACCACCTTTCTCCCACACAGGCTCTTGCCCTTCTCATTGCTTCTCCATGTGCCCTTTCCTTCTGTCTTCGTCTTTCCTTTGTCCTTGCCTTTGGCCTTTCCTTTAATGTCTTTCGACTTGCCCTTTCCTCCTTTCTTCCCTTGATCTCCTCTGATGTAGTCCACCTCCATAGGTGTAGCTTCATCCATGCCGGCTCTGGTAGGCAGGCTGAGGCTGTTTGATGAGTCCCATCGCGTTGACAGTGCCTCCAGTTCCATCACCTTGTTCTTCACTTGCTCGTAGGTTGTGGTTTCTGTGATCCACAGTTGTAGATGAGCTCGAAGGTGTGGAGGTACAGCTTGTAGGATTGAAGCCACCTTTGCATCATCTGCGTATGCATGCCCCGAGATCCTCTCATACTCAGTCACTATTGATTCATACTGGGGCAGCTGCTCGGAGATGGTCTTTCCTTCAGCGAACTGTACCCTGGAAAGTTGGGTCAACAGGGCAAGCGCTCGGGCCCTTGTGGCCGGTTGCATTTCTTTCAATAGGCGTTGCCAAGCTTCAAAGCCGTTCTCATCCTTCATGTGGCGCACCAGCTTGAGGGGTCTTCCTCTCAGGTAGGAAGTCAAAACCCCATACAGGCGTACAGCCATGGCCTTCGTTGCATCCGTCATGTCATCGAAGGCGAAATCTCCTCCGAGGTTGTCCTCCACCATCTTCATGCTGTGTGCCATCTGAGGTTCAATCCCCTTCACATAGTTGACGAAGGAGAACTTCCAGTCACCCCACTGCTTGATCTCCTGGTCCCTGGTTTCAGGTTTGAACAGGTCAGGGGTCTTCATGTGCCTCGACCATGTCGTTGTCGTTTGGTTCACAGTCAGGCGGTCGAGGGCTTGTGAAATCATCCTCAAACTCTCCTCTGCCATTGTCCTGAGGTATGGGATGTAGGCCAAATAGGCCTTGGTCGTCACCTTGGGCTCAGTCACGTTCTCCTCGAAGACAAGGCCACCGTAGGAGATCAAACTGATGTAGTCCCAGTGAGCTAACAGCTCACAGATGTCGTCTGGATCTGTCTGATCCCTGACTCTCTCAACCTTCTTAAGGAACTTCCACCCAGCCGGGACTGAAACGACCAGCTGTAGTGCTTCGCCCTTCCTTCTTCCTTCTTTCTCTTCAGCAGGATCAGGGATGCCCTGACGTTTCTCTGGCTCCTTTCCCAGCGCAACCTGCCCACGTACTCGTCAGCCTCCACCAGCACAGTGTGGATGTACCTCACCTTCCACTTCGTGTCCTGGGCCACCACGCTATTGCTCTGGTAGTAGCAGATCTCCTTGGTGTAGGTGTCGCCAGTTCCACCGGCCAAACAGGCCAAGATCAGGATCTCCAGGATCCAGAAGCTTGCTTCTCGGCTTGCTCTGCCTCTCCTCCGATTCGTCGTGGTCGTGGTCCTCAGGGATGAGGTCGTAGTGCAAGTACGTGGGTAGGGAGCGCCGGCGCTTTACGGCCAGCGCTCCGGCGCTTTACGGCCAGCGCTCCGCTACCATGAAAAGCGGATGCGGACCTTTTCGAGGTAATCTCGGGCCTATACATTTGCGGTTTGTGCGTGTCATCCTTATGCAGTTCATGCATGAGTGGATGTCCTTATGTTTCCTCCATACATTCTATCAAAAACTGAAATTGTTACTAGTAGCGATGCCCTTGTTACTATATATATATGTTACTAGTAGCTTCTTGCTACTAATAGCGATGCACTTCTTACTAGTAGCGATACAATTGTTGCTTTCGCTTCGCTCCTTGGGTGCCTGCCCAGTTGGAAGGTGTCGGATCTGCAGAGCGACTGCAAACTGCCTTTGGCCAGTTTCAAAACCAAGCAAACCATGATCCACAAAAGAACAAAACGAGATGAGGAAGCTTTACAAACATACCAGAACTGCTGAACTGCTGTACAAAGCCCAAAGTCTGCCAAAATGCTGTCCTTCCCACCCAAGTTTCTGCAGCCCCTGCCTCAAGACAACCATGCAGCACCACATAGACCTATCGGCCACAGTCACAGATCATCACTGTGGCCTATTTATCTCGATCCGTCGTGCATTCGTTTGTGCAAAACAACAAAAATATGTGGCCTCTGCAGTGATCTCCCCTTCCTCAATCATCACTTCATTCTGGGGAACCTTCATACTCTCAACGGTACAACACTAACAATGATTCTGTGCAGAAAGGATGAAGAGAGCGGTATATGCTCGGGCGGTACCTGTACCTTCCCCCTCGGCCGTCACCTGTTGAGGTGTCATAAGCTGCACGAGCTCCATTCGGAGAGCCAGGTCCTAACGCGACTGATTGACTTATTGACCTCATATGTCATATCGTCACAGACGAAGGGCTAACAGCGGCTTGCAGTGACTAACAGCACGAAAGTCCTCCTCATGGAACGGCCGTTCCAAAATACGAAGCCACTCTGAATACGAATTCTGGATGATGTCCATCCTACACATTTAAAAGAGCTCTCTACTAGTATCCATTCAGTGCGGCCAGCCTAATGCTTGTTGGCATGTTGGCCAAGATTTCAGCCTGGCTGGTGTGAGAAAATACGCCTGCAAAGCTGGCCAGCCCTGCCAAAAACCTCGTTGAAAATGGACTTCTTTTGAAGAACATACTGAGTGTGCTCTCGAATTGCAGTCCTGTCGCAACGAAAGGCTGTTGAGCTGTTGAAAGGCCAAGCAAAACTGCACACAGCACTCTTCCTAGAACTTCATCATCACGAGCCTTCATACCCTCGGCCCCTCGGCACTTAAAACACTGCAAATTTGTGGTCCTCAAGTGGCGAGGAATGTGCCGGCCAGCACACCATTCCTGGTACCATAGTAGGCTCAAAAGTGGAGTGACAGAGTAGAAAATGTTTTTCTCACTCCCGCCTTGATCTCATTCACCCGTTTGTTTGTTTCGTTGGCCCGCGGGTTCGCGGATTCGAGCAAGGAGGTAACCTCGTGACATGCATCACTTCAGTGAACTTCAGTGTCTTTTCTTTGTGTGGAACTCTCTTTCATGGCATCTTAGGCAGGTGCGGATGACAGGATGAAACCAAAGGCTGTAGCCCCGAACAGTTGCAGCACGATACAGAAGAGACGCTCTTCCTAGTACATAGTAGCCAAAGGCAGGACAACAGATGCTTCCCCAAAATTCAGTTGCTCTTGCAAAAGGAGGACGTTGCCATACGCACCCAAAGCTCAACATACTAGTACTGCGGAAATGTCTTGCTGTCAAACGCCGCAAAGAAATGTAATTAGAGGCTGAGCCAGGCGCTGTGTTTCTGGCCCAAATGTCACCGTATCCAACTGCCATCATAGTGGCTGTGATGAAATGAAACGATGCAATGTACCTCATAGGATGACCCAAAATGTTACGCAAGGCCGGGACAGTCAACACAATGCACACCGAAGAAAAGCTGGGAGCACTTTGAGACGAGACCAAATTTATCAACGTTGAGGTCCCTGTCGAAGGAAAACAAAATTGACACATACGGCAGGCAAAAAAATGCTTAAATGTGATTCTGAATCATCTGGATTTCAGAGCGCATGCGTTCATTTTGCGAGTCAATGCACATTTATTCGAGCGATCAACTCACAGGCAACCCACTGAGAGCGTAGGAGAGGCTTGGACAAACTCAGACTTTGCACACGGCTTGCACAAAGAGACAAAGAACGACGAGTGAAAGGTCTCTGAGCAGTTGCCGCAGCTCTGTAATATCTTGAAAGTGAAACATAAAAAGGGCTGAAACTCTAAAGACTAAGGTTCAATCCACTCACAGAACAACCATACGTTTCAAGGTTCCAGAACGGCAATTGAAAAATTGTCCGAAATCACAGATTTCCAATGATTTCGAAGACGTCCCCGCTCATGCTTCCAAATCCTCAAGACTGGCCGGATCAGGCTGAAAGTCGCATCCAAAGGTGATCCGCACCTCCTTTGTGGCAAAGCTGAAAATCAGCTGATCCAGGAACGAAGCGTTGGAGAGGACGCAACCTGAACAAGCCAGGCGACCCGGACTCCATTTTCTAAGAAGTATAGGAGGAGGTTCGACAAATCATCCTAGTCAAGTCCATGCTGACCATCGCTGAGTCGTTCTAGCAAACATCGCGCAAATATGGGTTCAGTCTAAAACATGTTGCACTACGGGAGGCAACAAATGATACACTTGGTCTGATGGCCACCAGCGTGGTCTATTTAAGGCAGCGGTACAAAATGCATCATCTCAAAAAATCCTGCGCTTCGCGTTGTGCTGCGATGTCATTCTCAGGAATTTAGCGGCACGGACACGTCCTCATCGCGCTCGTTTTTGTCACTTCTTCATAGAACAGAGTGGAATAACGGAATATCGAAATCAGGACTGTCCTATTTTTTCTGAGATCGTTGCGTCTTTTTGCGCACATGCATGATTTCCAACTGTCACCCAGATCGTGAAGGGTATCTCAAGAAGGGGTTCAGGTCAAATGCTTGCATTCGTGTCGCGTTGGGCACACTAAGATACTTGACATAGAAATTACAATTCATTTTAGTCACGAAGATGTTTTCACATTCTCGTGTGGTTTTGAAAATATTGTGTATATATATATATACATTTGTTATTTTGTTATATGGAGTTGTTCACCTTTCCATTTCACTTTCTTGCTCAAGTGTAGTGACGCCATGATTTCATACCAGTCTGAGAATCTTGAAGCTTTGACGCTCTTGCTGGCGCTGAGATTGCTTGCAATTGAATTGGGTTGTGTGCTGCAGACTTCCTTTGAAGATTTCAATGAATGTAGTCAAAAACTCTACAAACATGCAGAAAAGGGCAAGTTAAAAGAAGGCATTGCTTGACATCATTCATGATCTCAAGTGAACCCCGCAAATATATACATATATATATATACATGTGTACATATATATATATATATGTGTGTGAAGGTCTTTGTCTTTCTTCTCTGCACTTGCCTGTTGATACTGACCTGTTTGTGATATACGTAGATATCCCGAGCAGCGCCTCGTTTTTCCGCTGCCAATTTGATGGCTTCCTGCGAATTGCAACAGGAAAGGTGGAAGACTAGCTATTAGAGAACGCACTGCATCTGATCTTGTCCCACCAATCAATATGTCCAAAGCATGTTCTACAAAAGAGAAAAAGCTTCACTACCATGTGCCCTTCTGAGAGGCTCTCTTGCCTTTTGTGAATTCATGTCAAGGTGGCTTTTGTTCTCTGGATGTGGCGTTCTCCTGCGGGTTCGTTGTCATAAGGGTTTGATCACCTTCGCATGGTGTGCCTTTTGGGGTCGACAATGGTGTGCCTTGTTGTGTCGATTCCTCTTTATGCATTGAGGCAACTGAGACTTTGAAACTGTATTGTTGCATAGTTTCGCTGTTCGGACCTTTTGGAGGTTGGGCAGCCGCTTGCTGAACCTTGTCGCCAGTTGTTTGGCCGCCATGACCTTCATTATGCTCTTAAGCCTTATATAAGTCTTCAGCCAGCGATGGGTCTGGCATAACCAGCGTAAGCTGCTTCGGTCCTTCAAAGACATGCCCATGGCGCCGGAAAGAAAGGCCACAGTGGCCTTAGCATGAAAGGCACATCCACACAGGTTTATGCAGGTAATCTGAGAGGCAGCACCCAAGCTGCTCGGTTCACCCCCATGATGCAATGCACAAGAACCTGTGAAGCAAACAAAGCATTCAACCAATATGCGATGCCAGATTTACAAGACCCCACCTTTCGCCCGTGCTGTCTGCATTCCGTCAAGAAATCCAGGATCTGACAAAGGTCATGGCTCAAGCATACATGATAGTAGATCTTTGTAAAGAGTGCAAATATTGAAATCCTCTACTCAAGTGTGGTGTCAGAGCTGCAGATTGCGTCCGCACGACGCACAAAGCTATCATTTTCTACGCACCCAGCTGGCAAACTTTCCAGAAATCAGCCGTTTCGCTGATTCCAAAGGCTTCGCATTGATATAGAGTTTTTGTCTTAGGCTAAATCAAAGAGGTGAATCATACTTTTTGTCATACGATGAAGCGTTAAGCCCATCAAAGTGGCTCCGTTGGCGGATACAGCTCTCCGCGCACTTCAGCGCTCAAATCGTAGATGTATTGGGTCCGGGACCAAAGGAATCTTCGCAGTTCCGTCTCCCTCGCACAAACATCAAAAGGCTTGTTCCAGGTGTCACATTATATACGGTGACTGTTTCGACTGTTTTTCTCCAGCCTCGCGGGATAAGTGTAAGGGCGCTTTGGGTCTAGAGTCCGGCCATAGATCAAAGATCCACGAGTTGTATACTGATGCTCATCTATGACAACCTAAGACTTCTCACGGACGCTCTGCTTGTTTGGGCCTTCACAACTGCGTCTCGATGCTTGAGAAAGCAAAGGAACGGGAGTTTTCAAAGGTTCAGATTCATCGACCAACTTGCACATTAGAGCCCCCTTCAGCTTTAGTCGATGAAGTAGTAGGCCTTCAGCAATATACTTTCAACAGATTTCAAGCAATGATGTTCCTTTCAAAAAGGCAACCTCCAGTTCATGTACTGAAACATACGAGATACACACCAAGTGCAGCTTGGATTCTGAAGCCCCAAGATGTTGCGCCCTGTACGGGCTGCTTGGAGGTGGCCTCCAAGTATTGAATGACCTCGACTCCCTTGTTGGGGGCACCATGGTAGAACGACACTGGTCGATGGGCTGGCTCCTCAAGCATGTAAGGGCTACAAGGGATCGCAGAATATACATGTACCAATCTCAAACAAGCACATTTCGGAGTCAGAACAAGAAATACACTTGCATAGAAGTGCACGCACAAACCACTTTGGCAAGCTGTAGTTGGAGACATGTTGGTATTAGCCTTTAGTGTTCAAACATGTTTTAGCCTACGGGTGTAAAACCGAACGTGTGACTACTGCGATTTTTGAAGTTGATGCTACGTGAAAGGTGGGGGGGTTGGGGTGGGGTGGGATGGGGCATTATCTTCAGCTTCATAGCATTGTCATCGGTTTCATAACATTGTCATCGATTAGTCGTGTGATTCGCGGATGGCAGTGGCGTTGGGAAAACACCACGTGCACTAACTTGTGCAAAAAAACTGCGCAAGTCTACTTGAGACAGGACGCATGAAAGTTGAGGACAGCCCGGGACAAAAACGGCGACGGATTTTGCGCTGGCACTTGGGTTTCGGCAGATTCGGCTTTTAAAATGAAAGGATCCGGGACCCCCAAAAAACATCATCGAACAAGCAAAAGTACTGAGAGGGTTTGCACTTTTGAATCAAATTTACAGCGCGGGCAACCCGGCCTGCTATTTCGCGACCAGCCGGCCGGCCGGCTGGCCATAGCGGCCGGCCGGCCGGCCAAGTAGTAGTAGTAGTAGTAGTAGCAGTAGTAGTAGTAGTAGTAGCGATTTCTTGCACGGCCGGCTGGCCGGCTGGCCATAGCAGCCGGCCGGCCGGCCGGCCATGTACTAGTAGTAGTAATAGTAGTAGTAGTAGTAGCAGTAGTAGTAGTAGTAGAAGTAGTAGTAGTAGTAGCCGACGGTCGTTGATCAGCCGGCCGGCCGGCCGGCTGGGCTGTGGATCTTGGCCGGCCGGCCGGCCGGCTGGCTGGACCGTGGATCTTGGCCGGCCGGCCGGCTGGCTGGCTGGCTGATCGAGAAATAGCGGGCCGCGATAAGCTCGCAATGTACTTGCACGACTACACGTGCGATTCCACACCCGGCGGGATGTTTTAGCTTGGCTCTAGACTCTAGACTCTAGCATGTTCCATTTTCCTGATGCTTCACAGCCTTCTCATCGTATCGGAGTTGTCCTTGTGGTCACAACATGATCATGAATCATTAGGATCATAGAAATTGTCTGTAAAATATCTTCCTCTTCGCGACATGTCATCATCTGCAACAACATTGTCATCGGCGCATCACCATCAAAGAACAACCACAAACAAAAATGGGTTGGAGGGCCCTTGGGATCGTCGCACCAGCTATGCCTGGCTCTTATATGTGTATATACATATATATATATATGTTGTTTTTGACTTTGAAGCTCTTCGAGATATATATATATATACACACCGATGATGTTCAATGCATCTTCATTGCCAGTTGATCTTCATGACATCTTGATTGTGGTAAGAAATGTGTCATTAATTTCATATCTGTTGATCTGTTGTCATTACAAACCGTCTCGACTGTCATTTGATCGAATCCAGCCAGGGTAAAGGCTTCAGCAATATGCTGATGTGCTATGTGCAGAGTGTATGGTTTGGTCAGAAATCGTTTTTTGATGCCAATGTCAACATACTGTAAATATGGTGATATGTAACGCGGTAATTTGTGCCACCTATGACAAGCACGCCTCTGCCAGAAGTGGTGTAGCATCCGCCGGAAACCACCCACATACTGAACCACTATCCTTTTGCTCACAGCCCCTAGTTTTCTGCCTCCACTTATCCATCCGCATCTCCTGTCTCAATTCAAGGACAATATACCTAGACCCACCAACATCTCAGACAAGCAGCATGAGCAAAGGCATCCTACTAGCAGTGAAACTGACAACAAGGAGAGACTGGGAGAAACAGGGACAAGGCCTATCAAAACAAATGTGCAAGCCAGCTAAACTTTGGATTTCACCACAAAGCTCAAGTAGCAGGATTTCTAGGGTTGAAGCCTTGAGCAACAAGATGTTCGCAGTGAATATAGTCGTCCCATTCCCCCCCACACACACTTTTGCACCGACTAGGCAGAATAGATGACAATTCTTGTTAGCTTATGATAGACAGAAAGTTGCCAAAGAAGTCATGCACAAGACACTGCCGGTGCAGCCTCGACCAAACAAATTCCATTCATCCTATGCTCGGAGTTCTGCATCATACCGACTATACCTCAACCAATCCACTTTCCCTAACCTTCGGGACTGTGTTCTTTGTCCTTTGCACAAGAGCCAAAACGTGGAACAAATAAGCATGCTGACAACTCTTCATTGCTTGCCCGCGTCAACAAAATCATGTCGTTCAGGATTTTCATACTCTCCTCAAGGACGGCAGCGAACCATTCGCCAGGCTCCCATCCTTGGCTTTTTGTGGATGGTTTGAACTATATAGAAGCAAAGAAAGTGTCTGTCCGAATCAAACATCCTTTCTTAAGACAAAGAACCTTAAACTACAGAAAGGCAGTCTGTATTTGGTCAGGGCTCTGCACCCTGCAATTGGTTCCGATCCAATTCGTGCGGCAAACAAGGTGTCGACGAGAGTGCTCGCGCGGAACCTGTACGGGCATGGAAATGAGGAACTCCAATGAAGACAATGGCGCGAAAGGGAACTCCAATGAATCTACTGCATCTTTATGGACCAAACCTGCCCTTGCCATTTTGCACCAACTTCTCTGCAGACTTCCGCAGGGTGTCACAGGACAAAGTCTGCTCTGTGAAGAAAAGAAATTGCAAATTCCGCGATGACACCTGTGACAGCATGAGCAAAGATTTCAGCAAAAATCATTGGTTAGGATTCGACAAATGGGCACGAGACTCTCAAATTAAGGCCTTGCTTGCTGCTAAGGTGCACCAGAAATTGATTCTTGGCAGCTCAACCTTTGAATAGCTATATAAATGTTTGCAAATTCTCATATCTTCTTGCAGTCATACTTCTTGCAGTCATATTGCTCTGTCTTGAAACAGGCCTCTGCACCTCACAATCCATGCATTGGCAGCGCCGACGGGAATCAGCTCGGCAGCGCAAAGGTACCACCAAACCACCCTTATGAAACAAAGCAACCTGCAAAACCTACGATAAAGCAATCTGCAGCCTGGTCTCAGTATTAATGTCCTGCCACATTCGCTTGAGGGAGCAAACATCCCCTTGATTCGTCTTCTAATGAGGCTGGTCGGAGGTGACCTCTTTCAAGACTCCCCGATAGCTGCCAATGTTCTCCAGGCAGCTAAAAAAATCAAAAGCCGTCGAGTTGTGGTAGAGAGAGCCTGTCGGAAACAAAAATGTGTCCCCCCTAAAAGAAAGTGCATGTTTGGTTCTTGTCCATTAAAATCCGAAGGTGGCCTCTGCATGTTTGAAGCTGTCACGTCTTTTCCTTTCATGACAACAACATCACAAAGCTTGTCTGCAATACCAAATAAAAGCTGCCAAGTGGATTGATAGAGAAGACTCGAATCATACTAAATGCAAAGGCGGCACACAAAAGAGCTGCAGGCTTGTGGAGACCGCGACAATAGATTTGCAGGCGCGCTGGTGACAGACAGCGATGGCATGGACAATTTGCATGAAACGGCTGTAGTGGAACAATCGCCTCTTCTCCGTCAAGAACGGGTCAAACTATCCATGAACCTTTCTCCGTCGCATTCTTCACCCCTTTCTTCAGCCCCATTCTGGCTATGCTTTGTGGTTGCTCCGGGGTGTCTCTACAACCGGCTTCTTGTCCACAGGAAATCGAATGATGGTGTTGACAAATGGAGGGGTTCTTCTAGCAGTGCAAGCTCCAATGCAGCCATACTTCATGCATTGTATCTTATTAAGGGCTTCATGCAAGGTCAAAGTATATGAAAACTCTGCTCGATGCTTGAGCCAGGTATCTGGCATCCGGATATAAATGACTGGAGAGCGAAGCTTTGCTAGAGATCCTAGCCTAAGGCTTAGTGAATTGAAAAGGCATCATGTTTCATCTCCTTGCCTCCTGCCGGTGACCTTGCATGTTGTAGCCAGCCTATACAATCAGTTGGAAAACATCCGAAATAGGTAGTTACGCATCGGCAAAAACAATACCCTATGGTTTCTCAAACTGCTTCACTTGGGGCTGTCCAAAGCAGGGTCAGGCGATTGGGGACAGAACTAAGGCATTCAGAATAGAACACTGAATTTGCTCTAGTTGCGCTTCTCAGGAAAACGGCAGCCTCATCTCTTGCTGGAAGCGCTCCATAAAGAACTTCCAACCTCAGTTTTCTCAAACACTTCGCGGTGTTTCCCATGTTGTCTCACTGAGATCCTTCAGTCTCCAACTCCAGCACGTCAGAGTACCAATCCGCATCAAAGCTTGCCAGGCTCCAAATCTGAAAAAGGTAAGCAGTGCGAAAGGCACACAACCTAACGTGGCCTCACGCTGCCACGGTCAAATGGTACATCAGCCAGCCCAGCACCCAGCCTGGTCACGTCTAAGGCCCAACCAGCCAGCCCCCAAAGATGCCTCCTTGTGGCTGGCTATTGGCCGGGTGACTGCAAAGCACATGCTTCTGAACTTCAAGTTTGCAACCCTGCTTTACCGAGATTTGTTTGTGTGAATCCCTGCATTTTCACTTGATGTGATCATAGGTGTGACATACACCACTTAGCACCAACAAACGCTGTTCATGGCTCAAGAAAAGCATCGTCCGTTTTTGGAAACTCAGGTTATGAGCCCAACGACCTGTTTTTCCCTTTTGAAGTCCACCCCTGTGGATCAGGGTTGTTGGCCGCCATGAGTGGCTTCGCTGGGCGGCGGCGGCGCTCCTCCCGCGAAGGAGAGCGCCTGCAGGATCCTGAAGATCGAGAAGGGCGACTTCGAGTGGGGGCGGCGGATGAGCGCCTGCAAGCGCTGCTGGAGGAGCAAGAAGGCAGAGCGGCATCGGTGCCGGCGAGGACGGCAGCGGTTAGAAGGCTGGCTGCAGCTCCGGAGCAGGGTGGGCAAGCAACAACTACATCCTCGGTGAGAAGGCCGAGCAGAGAACCACAAGTTCAGGTGGCTCAGCCAAATGGGCCAGGACAAGTCGCGGCTGAGTCAGCACCGGGATTGCTGGACTCGGTCAGGCAGTCCTTAGATGTTTTGCAGCGAGCCTTTGGTGGAAATTCTCAAGGTCAAGGGCTACTTGCACCCCTACTTCAACACCACGATCTGGGACATCTAGCCGGTACCGGTCCTGGAGTTCATGCTGGGCATGGGAGTGTCTTTGGATCGCCACAGTGTCCAATTCCACCCCGAGGAGGACCTTTGAGCTATGGCCCCACGAGTGAATTGGGACCACAACCGAGGGTTCTGGAACCTTATCCCATGGCTACCCCTCCCCCAATGAGTGGGGTGAATGTCAACCCTTTTTGGAGCACACAAGCACGAGCTCATCCTGGTGAAAGTGGGGTGGTGCCTGAAGGGATGCCGCAAGGGGAAGTCAGAAGGTCGCCAAACTATGTTGATGTGGAGGCCATCAGGGAGAAGGTCCTCAGGGAGGCCGAATCTCTTTGCGAAGGAGATCAAGAAGGCCACTGGTGGAGCAGAGTCATCATCCTTCGAGTCGGTTCCAAGTGCTGACCGAGAGCCTGGGCGGTCAACGGTCGGGGTGATGGGACCGGGCGGAGGAGGCAATGGGGGCGAATCGACTCGTGGCGATGGTCGAGGGTCTCAATCACATGGTCTTGAGCGTCCACCAGGGTTGCTGAAAGAGGGTGTGTGTGAGGGTCCGTTGAACAGGTTTGAACCGCCTCAGGGGACCGTGAATGAAGTGTTTAGAAGCTTGGAGTTACCACCTCTACCATCTCCTGGCAGCGATGGTGCTTCGCTGGCTTTCGGCGATTGGCTGACGGTGGCGATGCCTCTTATGTCGGACCTGTCTTCCTCTGCGAGGGGTTGGTGGCAAGCGAACATCATGGAGGCGGAGGCGCTGTATGAGACTTGGCTGAAGTTGAAGCCGCTGGAGAGGCTAAGGCTTAAGGTTGATCGGCCTTTGCACCCCAGTTATGAGCGAGTTGAGCACCGGGGAGTGACTATCCTATTGGGGGTTCTTCCCGATCAAGTTCGAAGGGATGTCATCGCCTCTAGAAAGGTGAGCTGCCTCGGAATTCTGTTTCGGCTGTACACCATTTTTCAACCAGGGGGTTCAGCTGAGAGAACTGCGCTCCTCAAGAGCATCACCGAGCTGAAGGTGGGCAATGGGGTGGCAGACGGTTTGTCTGGAATTCGCCAATGGAGGCGATGGATCCAGCGTGCACAGGAGTTGGGCCTGACTACACCGGACCCTTTGGCGCTGGTGCAAGTGCTGAACAGGGTCACAGAAGCCCTGGGTCGACATGGTGGTGCTCAGGTCTCATTCAGAATGGCAACAGCAAGGCAAGATCTTGCAGTGGATCAGTGTCCGACGATGGAATCCATCATGGAGTATGCAGAGTATGTGCAGGCGGAGGCTGAGGATCTGGCGCTGATGACTGGCTCTTCAAAGACGCCTGCAGCAGGTACGAATGTGAACATGTCCACAGCTGGAGGAACAGCTCCAAAAGTGGCGGCGTTCAACACCACGAGCTCCACAGAAGAGAAGCAAAAGGCCTCTTGCAAGTTCTGGGGGTCTGCTCAGGGCTGCAGGAGGGGGGATCAATGCACCTATGGGCATTCGTGGGAAGGCATCAACAAGCAGAATCGGTGTTTTGTTTGCAGCGGTGAAGGGCACATGTCGCGAGAGTGTCCCACTCGACGTGAACGAGATCAAAAGGATTCAAAGAAGGTGGCAAAGGTGAAGAATCCTATGCCCACCAAGGAGTTGCCAGTGAGTGACCTGGAAGCCCTAGATAAGCCGAAGGAGGAGAACGCCACTACGACTTCTTCCCAACAGACTTCGGGGTCCTTGAAGAGCACACAGGTGTCAAGGAGTCGGGAGGGGGAGAAGGTTGCAGGTGGTGGAGAAGCTTCGACGGGGAGTGCAGAGTCGGCGACGGCATTGATAGCAGAAGCTACAAGTTTGCTCAAATCATTGAGAGCGCTCAAGGCTTGCAGGCTGAGGCAGATTTGCAGGATACAGCCTGATGCCGAGAGGGAGGGCGAAGTGGCCTTGTTGGATGGAGGTGCAACTCATCCACTGAGGATGGCGGAGGTCGGGGAGAAGAACCACCTTATTCCGGTTCAGGTGGAGCTCGCTCATGGGTCGACCACGCTGTTTCGAAAGGAGGGATGCAGCACATTGCTGTCTTTGGACGAGGTTGAGCCGATCATTCCATTGAGCTTGTTGGTACAACATGGCTTTCGGATTGACTGGTCGGCGAATGGATGCACAATCAACCATCCTCGGCAAGGGCCGATACTATGTTGGCTCCGGGGGGGTTGTCCAGTGATGAAAAGGACTGCAGCTCTTGCGATGCTCAAGGAGTTTGAGGAGCTGGAAAGGGGGCACTACAGCATCACGGCCGAGGACGCTCAGTGGTGGGAGGAGAACATCCCTGGGGTCCCGGGGGAGCTGTTGGAGTTCATGAAGGGCCAGTCATGGTGTCCGGCGGGAGATGATCTTCCATGGAACCGGAGGCAGAGGAGAATGCGTCAGACTTCAAAGGGAATCATTGTGCACCTGTTCTCCGGCACCAATGTGAAGAGGTGGAAGGACTCGCTGCCCTCTGGGTACACCTGGCTGTTCGTGGACCCGCTCCTTGGGTCGAGGTATGATCTCCACTCGCCTCAAGTGTGGGGATATTTGTGCTGGTTGGCCAAGCAGGGCCGAATCAAGGCAGTTTTGGGAGGTCCTCCATGCAGAACAGTCAGCAGGTTGCGGAATCGTGGGCCACCGGGACCTCGCAAAGTCAGAGCAAGAGGTGATCTGAGGTGGGGGTTGGAGGATCTAACTCCTAAGGAGGCTCAGATGGTCGCGAACGACACCACGCTGGTTCTCAAGCAGGTTGCACTTTGGAAGCTGGCCAAACAGGGACAGCAGATGGGCCGATTGACAGGCTTCTTGCTGGAGTCGCCAAGGGATCCAGCATCCTATTTGGAGTCGGAGGAGGATCGGCAGAATCCATCCTATTTTGAGTGGCCTCAACTGCAACAGCTGTTGGAGGAAGATGAGACTATGAGGATGATCAACTTCGACCAGGGAGCGACAGGTCATCCACGGAGGAAGCCGACGGGGGTGTTGTCGAACTTGCCTATGCTGGAGCAGCTGGAACTATGCCAAGGAGGAGGAAGCACCAACCCAGTCGGAGGTGATTTGAGTCAGAGGATGGCAGCATCGAGAAGCTGGTCAGAATGGTCGCCGGGCTTTGTCAAGGCCATCCAGCTGGCATTGAGGAGTATGCTTGAGGAGGATGAGAACTGCAAGGTGGCGCGATTGGATATGGACCAATGGCGGCGACATGTGCGGATGCAGCACACGCCCTTCAGGCGGGACTGCAGGACCTGTCTGGAAGCAATGGGTACACAAAATCCACATCGGAGATCCAGGACAGCGTCTTCTGCATACACCTTGGCGGTGGACATCATTGGACCATTCCCAGTGGGGAAAGATCCTGCAACTGGAAGAATGGCCAAGTACGCTTTGTTGGGAACGGTGCCGCTGCCGGTGCCGGACCATCTGCCGGGGGAACCGGCCGAAGAAGAGGATCTCACTGAGGAGCAGGTGAGGGACGTGCCTTCTTTGGATCAAGAGGACCTCGAGGAGGAAGACCTAGAACGTGATGGCCGTCAAGATCCACCAGAGTTAGAAGATCAGCAGTTGGTTGAGGAGGGTGAGGAGCAGGTGATTGGTCGTGAAGAGATCGATGAGCTTCGGAGGCCCCATCAGCTGCAGAACATTACAATGGTGGAGGTGATGGAAGACAGAGGTGTGGATTCGCTCCTGGGAGGCTTGTCCCGACTTTATGCAAGGTTCAGGTGTCTGGGCATCAATGTGATGAGACTGCATAGCGACAGGGAGAAGGGCATGCTGTCGAGGAGGGTGTCAAATTGGTGCGGCCACAGACACCTGGTACAGACCTTCACGCAGGGCGATGATCCACAGGCCAATGGCCGTGCAGAAGCAGAAGTGCAACAAGTTAAGAGACGCATGAGGCTGATCATCCATCAGGCACAAGTGGAACCAGAACTGTGGCCAGGTGCGATTCGCCATGCAGCAGAGGAGAGATGCAGACAGCAGCTCAGCAGACTAGGTGTTCCGGTGCAACCAATGCTACGGTTTGGGTCGAAGGTGGCAGTTCGCACGAAGAGATGGCGCAAGGCTGGCCAATTGATCAACCCGTTCATCTCCATGCAGCTGGTTGGTCCAAGCCCACTGATGACAAACGGTTGGGTGGTTCGCCATCAAGGTCGTGTTCAACACGTTCGAACGGCTCTACAGCCATCTCCAGAAGCGGACCAAGCGGCTCTCGAGCTCCAGGAGATTGACGCAGACATCGTTCGCAGGAGAGTGACTGGAAAACAAGGTTTGGATCCTCACTCATTGCAGGACGTGATCTCACACATGTATGAGGAGGTGCAGCCTGCACCACAACCAGCCCTGTCCGCGTTGTCCAACTTCAGGACAGGGGGGGGGACAGATCGAGATCCAGGAGCTGGTCTGCAGGTCGAAAGCAATGGAAGCTGTGGAGGGTCGGCAGAAGGTATGGTGAAGTGCCTCGAGTGCGATCTCTGGCAATTGAGGGAACATCGAGGAGCTGAATGTCGATTTTGTGAAGGAGATCTGCCGAAGAAGCAGGATGGGCTGCAGGTTCCGGGGGAGGAAGCTTTGGATTTGCAAGCCTGTTCATGGACTCAGGCAGTACAGTGGCATGAGGAAGAAGTTCGTAGCCACTGGCAGTTGAAAAGAATGTGGCTGGATCAGTTGAATCAGGTGGCGGTGGGTGCACAGCAGGGCAGTGAACATGGAGGATGGCTTCAAGTTCTGGAAGAACAGTTGATGGTCCGGGAGGAGTGTCTTCAACGCCAACATGGAGCCCTGGAGAGTTGGAGGATGGCGGCACTGCAGGCGGCGGGGGGTTCAGGAAAAGGAGAAGAGCAGAAGCCTTCGCTGGTCCTTCAGACCTACACGGTGTCGCTGGCCCAAGTGCGAAGGGAGTTGCACAAGTGGGTCGAACCCTTCAAGGATGAGTATGTCTCTCTGTCCACTACTACTGGAGCGATCTTTCCAACCACAGAGGAGGCTTTGAAGAAGGATCCGAGATATCCCTGGCGGGAAGAAGCGCCAGCGATGCTGGTCCCTACGGTCAAGAGTCCTCATGGACGGCACAGGGCAAGGGTGGTCATTTGTGGCAACCATCTCACAAAGTCCCAGGTGGAGACGAAGGCTGTCAGTCCATTGGAAGCATCATCGACCTCCTCACCCTTTGAACTATATGCAGGAGGGGCGGATGCGACAGTTTTGCGAGCTTTACTCAGGAAGAGTGCTCTGGAGAAATGGTCCGTAGCGAGTCTGGGCGTGAAGACAGCGTTCTTGCTAGCTCCAAGAAGAGACGCACAGCAGAGGCTGCTCATTACGCGTCCTCCTCGGGTGCTGGTGGAAGCAAAGGTGTGCGATGCTGACGAAATCTGGGAGGTCAGAAACTCGCTCTACGGTCTCCAGGAGGCGCCTCTCAACTGGGCGAGATTCAGGGACGAAGAGATGGCCAAGTTCCGCTGGACTGAGGAAGGTGAATGCTGGAAGCTGGCTCGCACTCAAGAGCCCAACTTGTGGAAGGTGATCCTCGATGATCCATTCAAGTCAAGGTTGCCCGACAAGGTGTACGGATTTGTCGCTGTGTACGTTGATGATATCCTGGTGACTGGTGATGAAAGAGTGACTCGATCGACCATTGCTCGGTTCCAGCAACAGTGGAAATGCTCGACACCGGAGTGGCTGACGCCTGAAAGCAGCTTGAGGTTTTGTGGCTTTGAGATTGCCCAGGAGAAGAGGGGACTTCGTTTGCATCAGGAGTCATACCTACGAGATCTTTTGGCCAGATATCCTGATGTCAAGTCAGCTCAGAGCCCGCTGCCAGGTGTCTTGGATGAGACTGAGGAGACGAATCCTGAGGTTGCAGAGGTCCGAAGGGCGCAAACCTTGGTTGGAGAGTTGTTGTGGCTGGCAGTGAGGTCGAGGCCAGACATCTCCTTCGCCGTGTCGTGGATGGGGAGGCAGGTGACACATTGTCCACGTCGAGTCCGACGATATGGAGCGCAGGTCCTGGGGTTCTTGCAAACCACCATGGGTTTGGGCCTGTTGTATGAAGCTGCATCTGATGAACCCCAGTCGGAGGAGAGCAAGGGCATTCACGTGTATTCGGATGCCTCATTCGGCCCCCCTGGATCTCGCGGTCACCAAGGCCTTATAGCCATGTACCCAGGTGCTCCTATACAGTGGGAAAGCAAACAGCAGCCCTTTGGCACCCTATCTAGCTCAGAAGCAGAGCTCATGGGGTATTCTGATGCCTTAACCATGGGTGAGTCGTGTGCCTCAATCGTTGCGATTTTGGAAAGTGGTGATGCGAACGAGGTCATGGACTGTGTCCTTCATGGTGACTCGCAGTCTGGCATCCGCATTTTGCAGTCACCGGACGGCCCATGGCGGACGAGACATCTCAGGCTGCGAAGCTTCGTGTTGCGGGAGAGAATCCGCACGGGATGCTGGCAGGCACGTCACGAGCCGGGAGCATCGTTGTCGGTGGACCTATTGACAAAGTCCATCGTCAGTCCGCCTTCGTGGAGGAGGTTCCGGGAGTTCACTGGCTTGTGTGCTGGAGCAACCCAGGCGAAGGAAGCGGAGGACTGTGTGCAGGTCAAGAGGCTGATCGGGCTTCTGAGCGGGCTGATAGGCATTTCATGTTGGCAGCCAGTTGATGCGGTTGCCAAGGTCGCCAAAAGTGTGACCATTGCAGCGGTAGCTTCAAGTGTAGCTTGGCTGATGGGTAGGAAGGGTGGAGATGACCCCAAAAAAGATGGTGAACCGGCATTTGCTCGGACAGGGGCGTCCAAAGAGGGCAGTGTCGAAAGAAGAAAATGTCAAGAAGAGACAAGGGAAAATGAACCTGTCTCCAACTCCGGTCGCGACTTTAGCCCAAAGGGCTCCCCGGGCGGTGCATCTGCGTGCGAGCCATGGATTCGGCAGCTTCCGCGGGTGAGTGCTTTGAGGGCACCAATCACCCATGTGGGACTTGGCACGGATCTTCCATGGGAGCTGATGAGGTTTAGTACGCCGCCTACTGGAACAGACAGGTGGGAATGTCTTGGTGTGGGCCTCGGTGGTGGTGAATGGTGGGTCAGGGTGCTGAAGAAGTTCCGAGTGCGAACTTTCCATCCATTGCATCGTGGAACCCCAATGTCGATAGCAAGACTCTCGGCGACCAGAGTCACGGTGGCTTTTTCGCGGGGAAATCCGCGAGAAGTTTGGAAGCGAGTGGTCATCACCGATGACTGGATCGAGAACAGGGGCTCAGATGTGGAAGGGCTTCGTGAATGGTGTGGCTACACTTTCTTCTACGTGAAGTTTGAGGCCCTCCCAGAAGGAAGAGCAGGAAATCTCGACCGACGTGATGTCAGGCCGGGACCACTTCCCCCACCGGGATCGGTGGCCGCAGACGGGGGCTATGGTGGCTCCATTCCAGGAAGGTCAAGAGCAGTGCAACGAGGTCGAGAGGCCTTACAAGGTTCAGAGACGATAGAAGGCGAGGAAGTCACCTACGGTGGAAGGGGCATCAGTGCTTGTGACATTGAGTCCATCGAGGGTGGCACGAAGACGGGCTATGAGCTAAGGCTCCAAGGACGTGAGCATCGGGGGGAGAGCGGAAACAACTCCGGCCAGGTGACGGAAGGGACGTCCCAAGCGGCCAATTCAAGCGAACACTTCCCTCCCGAAGCTGACCAATGGCCAATTTGGCTTGGAATTGAGACGGCAGTTCAACATCGTCCTCACCTTGATGGTGAACGACAAGATGAGGACTGTGAGTCGGACGGAAGCTTTGAATTTCTGCGCAGCACTGGATGAAAAAACCTAGTGCCGACGCATGTTTGAATGATGGTACAACCATCAGGGGGAGTGTGAATCCCTGCATTTTCACTTGATGTGATCATAGGTGTGACATACACCACTTAGCACCAACAAACGCTGTTCATGGCTCAAGAAAAGCATCGTCCGTTTTTGGAAACTCAGTTTGCAGCAAAACTACTTCATCCAAATCATTGGCCAAGTTTGCGCATGCAGGTACACAGCTAAACTGCTAAGCCAACTAAGCTTGATGCCATCCCCATAGACGCGTTTCGAGTATGAGCCCTCGCTCGCCTCTGACACCTGGAGGCTTGGGGTCGCCCAACCTAATTATTAGCAAAAACATAACCCACCAGTCTTACAGAAAAATTGCCTCCGACCCAATAGCAAGAGTGTTTAGCCAGACCCAGCTGTGTCGCTCTGTCTGTATTGCATCAGTTGCCATCGGTCTCGTCCGCTACCTCTGGGGTTTGAAGCACGCAATCTCAGCTTCACCTCAGCGCTCTCAGCGTCCAAGCAACACTGAGCGCACCAAGCTAGCAGCTAGCTTCGCCAAGTTAGCTTCACTAAGCTTCTCTAACCCTCCCTCTCCAAGCGCGCTCCTTTTTGGAAGGACCACCAATGCCCCCCAAAGCTCCACTAAAAAAACAGCAACTTGGGCTGTCGGACTAGCAGAGGGCATCAGCTATCCCAAAGGTCACCAAATCTGGGGAGGGAGGGTGGGACAAAATGGATCTGTCAACCACCTCTGCAAACCTCAACCCAGCAAAGCTGCAGCCAGTGAAATGAGCATGCAAGGACGTGAGGGTTTGCAGGTTCACCTAAAGGTGATCTGGTCCAACCCTCCCTCTCCAAGCACGCTCCTTTTTAGAACCAAAACTCCACCAAACAAGGCGTGCTCCTTCCAAGCACTTCCTCTCGGTGGCTCCCAAACAAGGTGCTGGACACTGTCTGCCAGCCTAGCTTCAGCAGCGCCAGCCAACCAAGGCATAAGTGCAGAGCCTCAACGCAACTTTGTACCTCCAGTCGCACACTATTGGCTCTTGTTTCTCTACCGCGGCATACAGGAAGCACATCACCCCAATCTCATCTTTTGATGAGGAAACGGATCCCCAAACTTGATCCACACCTTCCCCGCGTAGCACGCTGCGCAAATCTGCAAAAGGTTTTCCCCCCATGCTCAAGCAGCCGCCAGCCTTCACGCACGTCACTTAAGCTTGCATCTGTCCATGCAACACATAGCCGCTGGGGATCTTCCACTTGAACAGCATCCAAGGCATGAAAGCGCGGCTTTGGTTTGTTCAGCGCGTAGAAAAGTGGTTGCGGCCAAGGCCTAATCCAACGCGCCCCCTAAGTGAACCAGAGCACGCGCACAGCCCTGAAAAACAAGATTGCAGCCTATCCAAATCAGCCTGTGACCCAGGTCTACTTTGTGCCACGACGAAAGGAGACCAGGAGCACTGGCTAGGATGAGCACTACGCAGGCCATTGAGGCCGCAACCCTGCGCGGGAACAGCGCCAGCGCATCGTCTACGTAGATGCGAAGGAATGCCCTGCACCCAGACTCTATCGTCACTCCTCGAGAAATTCACACATCCAGGAAGCTGGCACGGTTGAAAGCCTAGCTGAGTTGGATCCTCCTGGCGCAGTTCATCGCCTGTATGTAGTGAGGGCCTGCAAAGGCCGCAGCATCGCCGCAGTCCGGCGCTGCTCTGTGGGCCAACCCGCCGGCGTAATTCAGAAGGTCCATGAAAGGGATATCTTGAAAATCTGGAGAGCTATCTTCATCACTAGAGGACGCTAGGGGGCAGGGGCTGTTTTTGTTCTTGGCAAGAGGGCTGGTGGTGATGGGGCCGCTTCGCTCTAAAGTTTCAATCAAGGGTAATAGTCCGCGCTTTTGTGGCACTTGAGGGGCCCACCCTCTTTGCACTGCCGCTAGTATGAAGCTCTGGCATTCCAGCTGTGCGTTGATGTCGTTGCGACCATACAGGTCCATACATCATCTATTGCTCACCACTTTGTGGTGGCCCTGCACAGCGCGAAGAGCTGGGGCAACACCGTGAAGGGTTGGCATAGGTCAGCAATGTGGCTTTCAAGGACTGTAGGGTGAACTGCGCCGCGAATTGCAGAGCTACATTCCCACGCACGCACAGGCAACGCCTGAACTGAGCCAAACCGACACTATAGCTCATTGGGCCCCCACCAAACTGCAAGAGGAAATCCCTTTTTGGATGCTGCTGTCGAATGGCATCAATGCACCGAAACAAGGCCCTGCCCCACTGGCTTGAGCGAAAGCCTACTGCGTGGCACACACGCTTTTGGTTCGCCAGCACAAACCCCGCAACACACCATTCTGCCAAGACACAGAGCTTAAGTCAACGCGCTACAAAACAGACACCTGAGACCGCCCCAGCACATGAGCAGCAGCCCGCACAGGAATAGTTCATCCTCACTATGCAGCAATAAGGAGTGTTTAAGAGCTTCCATAAGAGCCAATGGCAAGGGGATCGCTTCTTTTCTAAAGGTCTCATCCCAATCAGCATTTTTCCACACCATCAAAGGCGGAGATTTCAGCATGCCCTGTAAACGGTCCAAGCCCAACTCCAAGCACCAAACTGCATGGCCCCCAGAGTTGCCACAGCGGACTTCTTGCACTCGCGCCCCCGGTCAACCTGAGAGCCTACGCTAAGACTCTCGAGGAAACTTGTCAGCTGGAGCAGCTTGATTCAAGTTTGACAACTCACAAAAGGTTGACCAGCACAGCCAACCCTGCAAGCGCTTCTTTAAAGTAGACGGGGCGCGGTCGCGAAACACTTGCTGCACGCTAGCCTCCGACATAGCACCAGCATTCCTTGGCCAGGAGCTGTGATCTGCCACCCTTCACGCACAAACTACCCAAGCTCTGGCCAGTTTTTGGCGCTCCTCGTCTTCGAGCTTGCGCGCTTGTGGCTCATTTCCACAAAAGAAGGGAGAGATGAACACCAAGGGACGTGCCTTTGGCGGAGGGACACCAGCAATGGAACCAACCTGGAACCTGCTGGGTCTAACCTCACGCTTCATAGCAGCCGAAGAAAAAGAAAACAAGAAACACAACAAAATCAATCTGTCAACCACCTCTACAACCTCAACCCAGCAAAGCTGCAGCCACTGAAAAGTACATGCAAGGAGGTGATGGTTTGCAGGTTCACCTAAAGGTGATCTGGTCCATCATTCTTCCCACCAGCACTTGGGCACATGGCAGTCATCTCTAGCGCAGTTCAGGACAGCATCAATGCCCCGATCTCGTAGCGCACACAGGTTGAGGGCATCCTGACAAAATGACCACTGTGCAAGAGCCATGTAAATCTTTCGACACAGTCCTCCAACGAACCAATCCAAAGTTCAAAGCCAGTATCATCATCTTTCACCACCTTCAATTGGCTCATCAAAACAACTATGGCAAGTGTCTTGAGTTCACAGACTGTGAATCACGGTATGATGTATTCGATTACAGCAAACGGCCTTCTCAAGTTATCTGGTATTTTTCTCCGTGTATACAGCATTATTCAGCGATTAGTCATTTTCGTTTGGCACATCAAATTCTTCACGGAAAATTGATCTCGTTGCTAGCAGGAGATCCTAGTCCCTTGCACGTGTGGGCTGTTGCTGCGTACCAGGTCAGCAGTGAAGGAAAAGCCAGGATCTGCTGAGATCCTGAAGGCAAATAACTTGGGCGCTGAGTAAGCAACGTGTAAAAAGAACTTCTTTTTTCCTTCATTTTTTGAGATGCTTCTTTTTCTACTCATCATCACAGTCGAAGTAGTCCTGTCCGGCTCCTGGTCTGCAAGCCTGGCGGCCTGCGAGCCAAATCCCAATCCGTAGAATCACAGAACAACAATTCATAGAACAGTGACAAACCTCCTCCGCTGAAGCTTCCTGACCGGAGTGCATCAAAATTAGCACATTCAAGTTCTCTTTTCGATGTTCTTTTACCTCTTTTCAGTGCATCAGTGTAAGCCGTCAAACTTTTTGGGGCCTCTTTGTGTTGCCTGGCACGCGCTTCTTCACGCTTGGCACCAAGCTCTTGGAGCAAAGCCTATCATACTTCCATCGCTCGAAGAAGAAAAAAGAACCCGAAACAAAACACAATCAACTAATCCACTATAATATCGCCCTAATACAGAGTCTTCATCGAACAACGCTCAGCAAGAATACACCTGGATAGCCTGTTGCGACTTTTGTCAACACATGCATATTGTCCGGCCACGCAAACAGCGAATGGGGGCAGCAGCAGTAGCAGCAGCAGGGCTCCACCAAGCGATGCTAGAGGCCATCATTGGCAATGCGACAACAGACATCATCATCATCATCGTCATCATAATCATCATCATCATCTCGCCAAAAAGATTGAACCAAACGAGAGGAACTTGCACAAAACAAACAGGCTTGGCCATTGCCCTTTTGACAAGTTTATGTAAGCCTGTGAAGATTTCAGTTTGTATTGTTTCCTGCGCCTTCTATCAACCATGTTATCACTTTTGTCCATTGCCTTGTGTTTGCGTTGATATTGTTTGGGCACCACTGTAGTTGTCAAACTTGTAGCGAGTGGGCACCCGTTACTCCACCCGGAATCCACGTCATTCACAAAGTCTTGCCAAGTGTTGGGTCGATGATGGGTTTGCACAGAAATCACAACACTGTCATCGGTTACATAACATGTTCATCTGTTTCACAACGTTGTCGTCACCTTCAAAGCGTTTCATTGTAATTGCCAGCGTTTAACTTGGGGTGGGAGGTGGGGGGGAAGTCATCGCTTGTCTAAAATGTTCATCGGATTCACAACATTTGTCACGATAGATTTCGTTTGGTTGGATCTCTCGGAGGAGGCTCTGAGCCGGTCCGGAGGAGGTTCCGGAGCAGGTTTCGGAGTAGGCTTCGGAGGAAGGTTCCACACAAAGGGTTGGGAAGGTTCTGGAAAAAGGTGCGGATGCAGTCAAAGCAGCCTCGACCTGGTGGTTCATCGTTTCGAGCACACGCCTAGACGGTCTGATGATCCTCGGCGTGAAGGAGTTTGTTTCGGAGCACTGCAGCAACGAGCGCGGTGATGTTAGTGGGTTTCCAGGAAATCTTTGGGCGTGGGCCCGCCGAGAAAAGTAGGCTTTGCATCAGCATGAAGCTTGATGGTCTGCAACATGTTTTTGAAAAAACTACATGTTCCTAGCTATTAGGGATTTTCTTTGGGTTTATTTGTTGAGTTACGTTCTTATTGAGATTACTTTGGGATTAGCTTAGCATTTCTGTGGTTGTTCAAGGTCTGGAAGCAAACTTTTTGGTTCTTGTGTTGGGAAAAATTACTTTGCATCCACATGATTGATCTGAACTCAGCTGCCTTCTGTCTTCCGACGGAGCGTCAGAAGAAATTGCTAATCTGTACAAGCACCTCATCTGCAGAGAGGTTTCGCAAGCAGTGGTAAAGCAACAGCAAAAACTCGATTACCTGCACCCCCTGACCCTGTAATTTGTAGGGTCCTAGGCTACTGTAGCGCCTGCTCTTGTTGTCCGTAGTTCACTTCTGCTGTAGAGCTCAAATTCACTTTGCACTTGACTCTGCCATTGCAGCAACGCGAGCTCGCTGCGCCGCTCACTTGCACGACATCTTGGGCAACACCGATGTGGTCGGTCACAAAGCCAGTACATAGCCTTTAGTATTGCAACCTTGGGCAGTTCACCCCTTCATACTCATCGATGACAATGTTTGTGAGGTCGATGACAATGTTGTGAGAGTGATGGCCGTGTTGCGAAATCGGTTTACGCCCAACCCACCTACCCACCCACCTCACCCGATTTTCATCACCCGACTGATCGATGACAAGGTGATGTCGATGACAATGTTGTGCAACAGATGACAATGCTGTGAATCAGAGAACAAACCCAAGCAGCATCCCCAAGCTAGAAGCATGCTGCGCGTGCTGAAGATCTATTATGCAAGCCTTCAAACTTCATGCTGATGCATAGCCCACCTTTTCCGGCAGGCTCACGTCCAAAGATTTCCGGAGGCCAACATCACCTATATGTGGCAAAAGTGCTGGCATGGTTCCAGCCAATACCCTTCTCCAGACCCCTCCAGAACCTGCTCCAGAACAGAACCTCCTCCGGAACCTGCTCCCGAACCTCCTCCAGAACCTGCTCCAGAACCTCCTCCGGAACCCGCTCCGGAACTCCAGAATTTCCTCAACCTGGTCCGGAAACCCGCTATGGCTGAAAAACCCTAAAGCTTCGCTATTCGGGAAAAAACCATCGAAATGCCACGCCCGTCTACGGGCGGCAGGCCAACAGCTTGTGTGAATCAATCTCCTTTGGGTATCGGCCCACAACATCACATTGGCAGGTCATGATCATGGACCTGCCATTGTCACATTGGTAGTCCGACTACATTCAAGATTGTCTCCAAATAAGTGATAAGAGCGACCAAGCTCAGGAGATGTTGACTCTTGACGCGGAAAAAAAGAAACACAGCTTGGCACTTATTCTTGCGAAAACACGTTTTGCTTAGACCAAAAAAATAAAGGTGTTGGAAGCGTGTTTTGTGATGTCTTCAAGCCCCACTGGAACAGCCTCCAAAGAAGCTCGAAGCCTTGGGGCACTTTGCACATGCCAGTTTGTACAACAAAACTGTCATACAAATGTCTTACATAACAGTAGTGTTCATGCAACACTAGTTCTCTGCATTCCAAACCAAAGGCCTTTTGAAACGAAAAACTGTACCGAGAACAGGGCTGGGCAGCGCCTTCCCCCAAGTCGCCGTCGAGCAAGGCCATGTGAAAATTGGCACTGCCAGTATACCTTCCCTAGCATTACCTCCTAAGCCACCTATTTGTCATACCTAGCCTGCTATTCTTCACAAAATATATCAACAAAGGCTAGAGCAAAGCTGAAAGGAAATCGGATCTACACTGACCTGAAAACCTCTTATGATAACAACTGCGCTTCTCTTGTGCCTGTGCTGTGCAGCCCTCCCATTTACTACTCGCAGAAGCTACAAGTGCTGCCAAACGCATTCGCTTTAATCTGCTTGCGCAAAAAGAGCGGAAACACATGCAGATCGCACACCTTCAGTTGAATTGTCACAAGAACAAGTTGCGTCCTGATCCAATTGGGCAGTGAGTCATGCTCCACTTCAGGACATGGTCCAGTTGCCTCAACATCCTCCAACAGCTCATGGCTAATAGGCTTCTCAGATTGCAAAGAAAACAAAAAGACAAATGGCTTGCCTCAGACTCCTCACCACACGCTGGCAAGGCAATGAAATGCCTCAATCCAAAAACTATAATGATCCTTTTCAAGCCCGCTCCTACTTCATCAAGTGGGCACCTACTTACAGTAATTAAGTACGGGAGTAAGCTACTAGCTACTGAAGCTACTACATACGGACACGGGATAGCTCACGCTAATTATTTGGTTCCTCAATGTGTTGGAAACTTAATGATTTGGGTCTGTCTGGACAGCACGAGCCTCTCATTCCAAGACAGCGACAAGTTGCCAAAACTGAGGCGGGCGCCACATACAGGCGAGTAAGTGTGCCAAAAATACGATGTTGATTATGAGTCTCACCTGCGCGTCAAAACTCCTCCAATAATTCGAGTCTGTTACAGCAATCAGTTTCCCTCAAGTCTGATCGTTTTCTGGCCATGCGGATCATGGCTGGCTTGAGGTTAAGCTTTTCCTCCAGAATGACAAGAAACCTGACACCCATTCTGAACGTTTCCACATACAAACCTGCAACGGTTCTGAAAATTAGTTTCATTGACAAAGCTCACAAACGAAGTTTTGTTGCCTGTTGAGTTTGAAAAGCCTCATGAGCTTGGCAAGCCGAACCTCACAAGCTACATCTTTAAGCCAAACAAATGCACACAAACAGAAGACGGCTAGGAGAATAGCACAGTCTGTAGGTAAGAACAATGACGGCACCTCATACTACCTATGAAATTCAACAGAAAAGCATACTGGGGGATGCAAAGGAACTGTCATTGCCACCACATATAATAGATGGAATGGTCGTGAAAAGAATGTACTGCGAGCAATGCAGTCAATGTACAAACGGTAGATTCCGTCAGCTGAGCTTCACTTCCGCAAGATTGTTCAACTTTCAGAATCGCTAAGTCTCGTGCCAAACGAACAAATTTCATCAGTTTGACAGACCTGCAACACAAAGGATAGGGACACAAAAGCAATTGGACAAAGTGGCTGCTTCAGGCCTCATTTCAGAACCAACCTCATCTCCAGTAAAAACCTGCAATGACGGAGTGAGCGAAACTATCAGGTTTGTGCTCAGTGCTTGAAGCATCTTTAATAAGCTGGCCTGAACCAACAGGTCGATGGGGAACCACGACAGGAGGTCAAAGAGAAAGTAAGTCATGCAATACCTGATGCGCTGGATGTGGTCAATGCTCTCTGGGCCACAACCTTTCACCCTTCAGAGTTCGCAACTCACCTCTTTGCAATTTCCCACCAATCGGTGACGAGAATGTCCTGGCTCGTCCAAAAAGCTACGACTACAACAACTGACACTGCAAAAAATTAAAGCACTTTTTGCGTTGTAAGAAGGAACCATGGAACAATGCATTCCGATCCTCCATGTAGAAACCTGTTCGAAAGCAAAGGACCGTGTCGACCTCAGAGAGTTCGGAGAGGACTCGTTCACTCTCTTGTCTGAGTCTAAACTTGTCTAAAAACATCAAAACACTAAAGTCGAACTAGGATGGCTAGCCGTATTTCTATGTGTTCAAGCGAACAATGCTCATCTGCCCAGCACTACCTGTTTCTGATGTTTCTGATGGTGATCTGTTGCATCCTGTGTTCCACGCGGCGAAAAGAAAGTCAATCGAGTATTCAACAGCCAAGGCTGCGCCGTATGCTTCCTCAAGGAAAAGGCCGACATCCCACTGAACTCAAAGTCCCAAATCAGAAACACGGATTCTTCAAGAACTGCTCCTGATCGAATCCTATCCGCCATGTCAAACTGATGATGGTGTATACAATGAGTACACCGATGAAAACGTCCCAGCAGACCTGAGGCATTCAAGGCTCGGGGTGGCTCCAGCACTTGGTAGGAGAAGAAGACAGCAAGAGCAACAAGTAACGCGTTTATATACCGTCTTTTAGGATGGAGACAAAAAGCGAATGAAATAGACAAAGGAACAGACTTCAAGGGTGCCTTTGGTCCTTGTGTCACTCCCTTGTCTTCCAAGGTTGGAACTTTCCAGGGATCTCGTGGCGATATGATGAAACATCGCCTGAGATTCCAGGAATGCAAATTCGTGCATTCAATCCAACGAAACGTCACTTCTAAGATTCTATGATCCTGGCTTCGGAGTCCTCCCCTGTACCAAATTGTCATGCAGCAAGAGAGTCCGAGACTTCAAGGATCTTCAAAGTGTGGTCTTCAAGCGTTACCAAAAGCCAACTGTGTGTAAGTTCAGCCTGGTCAGAGAGGCTTTCAAAGGAAGTCACTTCAATAGCACCAGTTTCATAAGCACCTTCATGGACAAAGGACTCGAAGTTGAGGTCATCCCTTCTGTCTGTGGCGGGAATTCTGCCCGTACAGTCAAGGTAGCCGACCATCACGTGCATTCCCTCTGCATTCTTGAAAATCAGAATCCTCCTTCACATGACAGGTCTCGATCTCTCCCCGGGTTGCTTTGCAAATACACCAAAAATGATTTATATAGTTTGCCAATGGCCGAACGCTCTCAAAATGACAAAGTCACTGTGTAATCCCAATCGTTGCAATGCATCCCCCGCGCTGCCTCCCCGGTGTTTCCAGTACCACCAGTGCCGGCTGGGGCACCATGCACACTTGGAACTCGGGCCTGGCAACCCTTTGATGAAGGTGTTCCAAAACGAGCTCGAAAACATGTTCAGCTTCAGCATTGAATCTACTCACAGTATCAGTATCTGTATTTCGCGCTTTCCTGGTCCGAGCCCTTTGGCTTTCTGTTGCCGGTCCCAAAACAACACCATGAAAACTCCCCAGAATAGAACTCTCGGCAACTTTTGAACAAGTTTGCCCCAATCAGCCTTTCTCGGTCTGATTCGTGAACACACAAAACTGCATTGGCACATTGCAGTTCGGGTGGCCAGGACAACACCAACTGCAATGTCTGCATCTACCTCGATGGAACTTTTCAAGGTCTGCAAAAAGCCCTCTTCTTCGCCTTGCAAAACTCATTTGATCACTACTTGTTTGATTATATATATATATTGCAATTGTGAGGCATCACAAATGGGTAAAGAAATGCAAAGAACTGAACCTGCTTCTGAAGCTGAAGGAAGTCCGGTTGCGCAAATCCTAACACAAATCACAAAATTCACATATCCAGCACTAGTGGCACTAATCATTTGTGAACCATTGAGGTGTTGAGCCTCTGGGTTCGCGGGTTGCCACGGGATCTCCTTCAAAACGCTCAAACTGTGTGCATCCCTCGTCTGAATGGCAAACAAATTCTGCAAAATCCTCTGTTCGTTCTGTAGGATTTGTTGCAACACCTTATCACAGTCGAATTCATGGCACAATATCTGAGAGCAAAACTCAGCTGAAGGTTTTTAGAGTTCCCTGCAATGCGGGCTGCCATTTCCTGCTCAACACTTAATTGCTTAACACCTGAAACAAGCCTAGTTGCTTGCGCGACCAAATTCAAAGGATCAAATGATTCAAAAGTTATGCTGGATGCCTTTGACATGCCAACATTTCCTGAATTCAACGAATGATTGACACCACACACAAGGCTATTTGAGTAGGTTCTAGCCATTCCGTGCCTCAAACAGTGCCACATCTCCCACATTTCAGCATGCGTTTACTGCTGGAGGTCAAACACATTCTGCCAACAGTCTTCAGTAGTTCGCTGTTCAAGAGTTGTTGCCACTTCCAAAAGCACAGCGCCTGTCCCCAAAAGAATTTTGATGTCATCCAATGGAATCACGATGTCCATGTGAGCTAAGAACATCAGGTCGTTCGATGCTGTCTGTTGTACAGTTGAGCAAGTGTGAACCTTTTTTGCAGGTGATAGAGCCAGGCATCAACTGCCAATCACCCACACACAGGGTGAAAAAGGTCTAACGAATGGAACATGAGTGTGGAGGGCCCCTAACCTGTTCTCATCCCTTTGACGAAGGTACCAAGTCACGTCTGCCAGTGAGCGCACAGCAGGACCAAAATAGTTTGTGTTGGCAGCATGAAGTCGTTTCGTCCACAATTATAATATGTATAAAATGTATATATATATATGTAATGTAAATATAATGTGTATGTATGTATATGTGATATGTATGTGTATAATATATATATATATACATATATGTAAAACGTCATCAAGTGATTGGTTTTGTGCAACTGACATGAAACACAGCTTAACGCCTTTTTCTCTTCGAAGGCACTGGGGGCGTGTGTCCGGCCATCAGGCACTGGGTTGGCCTGAAAGCGAACTCTGGTGAGAACTTTGGTCTAGACGACGGCTCACAAGCAAACAAGCCCTTCAGGCTTGGAGTGATCCTCAACTGCACTCAGCTCGGTTTGGCTGACTTTGGCACAAGCTTTGGAACTAGGCTCTAGTTCGGCTTGACTGGACCGAGGGTCAAACTCCCTCTTTCCTACAATAAACCCTTCATCAGACCCCCGGTGTTCACAGGCAGTTAGTTCAAAGGCTTACGAAGCATGACCCAGGATGGGCGGGTGGGCGCTTTTCGGGCAACGAGACAACGCGTCCCACCCGCCCGCCCTGAGCCAACTGCAGAGCATTTGAAATGAGCACAAAGCCCGGGAGCCTCCTCCCTAAATCCTTTATGACCTTTCGATCCTTTACAAGGAGCTTCAACGTCATCAAGTGATTGGTTTTGTGCAACTGACATGAAACACAGCTTAACGCCTTTTTCTCTTCGAAGGCACTGGGGGCGTGTGTCCGGCCATCTCCCCCTTAAGCTCACACGCTGCCAGTTCCTTTGAATTTAGGATCAAGCTCTCAAAGACTTCAAGGGCCGAATCCGTCACAGCGAGTTCCTGCTTCAAAAGGGGGTGATCAACATTTCCTAGAAGGCGGGTCTCCAATGTTCGATTCCGTCGGCACTCTAGCGAACCAAGCCTGCGAAACTTGCGTGGCTTCGTGAACAAGATGAATGCGCATGAGTGCGTTTGCAATACACCCGTCGGCATGTCCTTTAATTAAGGCAAAGCGAACAGCTTCATTATCAAGAAACAAGACTTGCAATCCTTCTGCTATTCGGTCACCCCACAATAACATCGACAAGACTGCAGCGAGCATTTCAAGTTCATAGATGATGGTGTCTTTCACGTCCGCCCCAAAATTGTGGCACATTGCAGAATTCAACTGGAGACCGAACCAAGCCAGGCAAGCACCAAGGTCATCAATCAGTACGCCACCCAAACCTCCGATTTGTTCTTCTTGCTGAAAGGAAGCGTCAGAAAAGATGTACCACTGCTTCAAGCGCTTGGCACTGACCATTCTCGGTTTTCCAAATTGCAAACGAGCCAGCATGAATTTCAGGGCTGTCTTCAAGCTTTCGTCGATCGTCTTTTGTGTACCATAGGCGTGCTCGATCAACTTGCTAAGAACAAGGACTCCTAGACGACCATGCACGAAGCTGTCGGCAAACCCTAGCTTTCCTCGCAAAACAAGGGCTTCTTGTCGGGACAGGCTATTCTTTTCGAGCGCAAGCATGATCATGTCCTTCAGCTCGTTCTTCCTCTGTTCGGTGTTCTCAATCAACATCTTCCGCTCAGAGGACAGCGAAAGGTCCACCACAACACCCAGAGCCTTGCACAAGGAAGAAAATTCTGTCTTCTTCTTTCCTTCTCGTGCAAATTCCCTGCCAGTGATCATGAAGACCAACTCCATAGCCCGACTAGCATTCTCCTGGGCTGCCGGTCGGGACAAGAGGATAAAGTCATCGAAGAAGTTTGCGCTGAGAAGGTACAAGCCCCGAGTCGCTATGAAGTGAAGCATTTTTGCAAAGCGCAGAAAAGCATAAACACTGTGAGTTGCTCCAAATGGAAGCGTAACCAGCTGGTACACTTCCGCATGGCCCTTTTGGCAGTTGTAAATGCTGAAATACGCATATCGCAAGTGCTCCTCTTTCACCGGGATCTGTCGATAAGCACTCTTCAGGTCAAAGGTCTTGGCCCTGATGGTACTATCCGCACCGAGCTCTTCGCACCTCAGGAAAAATTTGTTCGTCAGAGCGGCCGGCGTGTCTATCATGTGGAGGTCAACCTTGTTGTGAACCGTGCAAGTCTCATTGATTCCGCTCACCGAAAAATCATCAATGAGCCGAGTTTTATTGCTTTGCTGCAAGGGGAACCTCCTCGACACTACTGCATCCGGTTCAAGTTCATCCAACCTGAATGGACCTCTGGCCCAACCTTTTGCCACCTCATCCATAGTCTCATCCAGCAACGTTTGATCAACCTGCTGGCTGCCCGAACTTCGAGTCATGTTCAAGATGGCCTGGTTCTTCACCCTGGCGCCTTCATGCAGCTGAGGCAGGGTCTGCGTGCAAGGTTTGTACTGTTTCTGAAAAACAGGCGTGGGTTCGATGTCACCAGCGAGGGCGGCGCCCTCTCGAA